AAGGGTGATAGTATTCTCATATTTTCTAATAAGTGGCTGAAGTGAAGGGATTTGGATGTGTTCTGAATTAAACTTGTTATTAACATGAGTTAGCAGGTATGCCTTGTGACAAATAGTGAGTCAACAAAGAGGGACCGTTAATTCAGGTATAGAGCAAGCATTTTGTATCTGCTTCCGAGCTCAAAGATGACAATATGTGGTGAAACAGATGAAATGAGAGCAGATAGGAAAAATAATGCAAAAGCAAAAAGAAAACACTTGCTGAGAGAAGAGAGGGGAAAATCTGATGTGATACTGAGGTTTATATGGTCAGAGTTTTAAGATGGAAAGTGGGAGAAGACTGATGGAGAAATCAGCAATTTTAAAAACTTGCACATGATATGGATTTTAGTATTATTATGGCCATTACATGGATGTTCTTTAACTGTTTTTCCCTGGAGTATATTGAAACACTATATTAATATATATGTATACTTCATGGTCTCATTTGTTGCAGTTCAGATGTGTTACTGTTCTTCTGCAAGGTGCTTTTTCCTTTTTGTGGTGCTAGATATTGCAATTAATCTTTGTCATTTAAATATGATAATATTTCCCTCAAGACTTTCCTTTCCTCTTTATAATTTAAAATTATTCTTCTGACAGTCCTCAGAAGCCTCACTCTTTAATTTTTAACTTTTTGCTAAGTGGTTCTCAACCTGTGGGTCCCCATTTGGGGTCGAACAACCATTTCACGGGGGGTCGCCAAACAACGCAGTCCGCCATTTTTTTCCCCTTTTCCTTAGCTGTGCTACTCCCTTTTATTCTATTGGCTTTTGAAAGCCAATAGAATAGACTCTCTTGAATAGAGTCTAATTCTATTGGCTTTCAAAAGCCAATAGCAATTGTCCAGGCTCTCTCTGCCCTGCTGAGCCCACCAAAAGTCCCATTCTGCAAACGGTGCTGCACCAGTTGAGTAGTCCTCGACTTACGACCGGTTGAGTAGTCCTCGACTTACGACCAGTTGGGGGTCGCGGCATTAAAAAGGTTGAGAACCACTGTGCTAAACAGAGGCCATTTCATGAAATTCCATCATATCTGGGTAAGCTACTTTAGATGATGAGTATTAAAATGGAAAAAGCCCAAGTTCTAGTGCAGTGGTTCTCAACCTGTGGGTCGGGACCCCATTTGGGGTCAAACGACCATTCCACGGGGGTCGCCAAACAACTCAGTCCGCCATTTTTCCCCCCTTTTCCTTAGCTGTGCTATTCCCTTTTATTCTATTGGCTTTTGAAAGCCAATTGAATAGACTCTCTTGAATAGAGTCTAATTCTATTGGCTTTCAAAAGCCAATAGGAATTGTCCAAGCTGCCCTGCTGAGCCCGCCAAAAGCCCCATTCTGCAAACGGTGCTGCACCAGTTGAGTAGTCCTCGACTGACGACCGGTTGAGTAGTCCTCGACTTACGACCGATTGGGGGGTCGCGGCATTAAAAAGGTTGAGAACCACTGTTCTAGTGCTTAGTTGGCACACCAAACTGCTTCATTCAAACAGTTCTGTCATGCTCTGTAAAATATTTTGTTGTTTTAAAATTATTGTAATTTGTTTCACATAACGTGAATATTTGAGATGTTTCTATATAACTGAATTGACTTTTCAAAAATAAATTGCAGCATATTCAAAGCTTTGAACAATATTATTGCTGCAAGAATCTTGCATTGTACAGCTCAGCTTTTTCCAGTGCAATGTCCTCTCATGTGTTGCCATCCTCATGGGAGTTATGGAAATTGAAATTCCAACACATTATAGTCATAGTTAAAAGCCAAGAAGATTGACATCATCTGCACAGAATCCAATTTTGCTTTGTGTTCGTGGAACTAGGCTGGAGCATCTTGGAGCCCAACAGGTTCTCCTCTCCTCCTTTTTCATAAGCACATTAAACCCCGAGAAGAATGATTCTTATTCTAGTTACACTTTAGTTAATACTTCTTCCATTTTCCTTTACCCTTACTTTTGCTAATGATGTCTGTTAAAGAACAAACTTTGGTTCCTTTTACTTAGCTCTGCTACAGAAAATATTTTATTATATACTATGCTGACTGAGATCTGCCTAATTGAGGGATTAAAGCTGGCAGGAATTCCAGTTCCAAGAGAAATGCAAAAAGCCTGAGCTGGGTTCTTTGCAACCACAAACTTCTGGAAATCAGCCTTTCCAAACAGCTTCCCATCTGGAAGCCAGCTGGCTTCTCTTCTGCTTTGGGTAATGGCAAGAACTCCACCCCCACCCCTTCCCTGTTTCCCATTATCCAGCAGAAAAAGCCACCTGAATGGGGGGGAACCAGCCACAGCCCCCAGGTCCTTTGTCAATTTCCAATGAGCTTCTTCTCACAAAGAGAGTCCTTTGGAGATGTAGGCAAATAGATATAATCATTGGGGGGGGGGGGTTAGAGCCTAATAGAGATGAAATGTCTATGTACTATTGATGCATATATCTAGACAGTCTGAGATGGTATTGGCTCTCCTGCTTGAGTAGGGGGCTCAACTAGAAGATCTCCCTTTCTATTCTATTCTATTCTATTCTATTCTATTCTATTCTATTCTATTCTATTCTATTCTATTTGTCCAAAATGGTATAGGGTTTCCTGCCTAAGCAGGGGGTTGGACTAGATGACCTCCAAGGTCCCTTCCATCTTTACTATTATTATTATGGATCATCGCACAGTCAGCCAGATGTTCAAATTATTATTATGGATCATCGCACAGTCAGCCAGATGTTCAGACTGGATTTGGCATTTTGTCTACTTATCGAGTCCTTACCCAGGACCTGGGATAGGCAGATGTGGATGTTTGATGGTATTACAGATATCGTCGCAGGATGGAAGCAGTTCCTAATAAGGCAGCCTTTTGCAACTGACTAATAGCGAATTTGTCAATGCCAATGGTGTTCAAGTGGTGCTCCAGTTGTTTTGGGATTGCACCCAAGGAGCCTATGACTATTGGTACTACCCTTGCTTGTTTTTGCCACAGTCTTTCTATTTCTATTTGTAGGTCTTTGTATTTTGTTATCTTCTCCAGTTCTTTCTCGTCTATTCTGCTGTCTCCAGGCACTGCCACGTCCACTATCCAGACTTTTTTGTCTTTCTTATCGACAATTGTTAAGTCTGGGGTGTTATGTTGCAGGTGCTTGTCTGTTTGAATTATGAAGTCCCAGAGCAGTTTAATTTTATCATTTTCTATGACTTTCTCTATTTTATGATCCCACCAGTTTTTGCTTACAGGCAAATGATATTTTTTGCAGATCTTTCAATGCACCATTGTTGCTATTTTGTCATGCCGCTGCTTGTAGTCAGTCTGTGCGATCTTCTTGCAACAGCTTACAAGGTTTCTTCAGCTTCTTTGCATAGGCGGCACTTACTGTCTGTTGCTGTCTCCTATGCAAAGAGACAGCAACAGACATCATCATCATCATCATTATTATTATTATTATTATTATTATTATTATTATTATTCTTGGTCAATGAGCCCACCACTGCTTGTGCTGCTACATTTTGGACCAGCTCTAATTTCCAAGTGGTCTTCAAGAACAGCCTCATGTAGAGCACATTGCAATAATTTACACTACAAGGACTGTAATACCCATTAAATATATATAACATAAAAATTATGGGAGATGTCCAACACATTGTAGGGTACCATCTTAGGAAAATTGCTTTTAGATGTTATAAACTTTTCCCCTTCTCTTGCGAGGCCTTCTGTTTTCCAATGAAGTTGTTTTGCTGTAGGCTTATGCCCAGATAAAGTAAGTACTTGGAGCAAATGTTTGAAGTTACTTTATTATTAGATATTGAATAGCTCTCTAGGTCTAGAAAATTCTTTCCCAACCCTAAGCATCTGTTTTGCATCTACAATTCATTTGTGGAATTTATAGTCATGGATTAGAAGAAATTCAAGCTTTGATAGCTTTTGAAAATATTTATATGCTACCAACAGTACTGCCTTTTGGTTCTGGTGGCTTTTATATTTAACTAGTAAGTCTCTTCCCAATCATCTAGAATGACATCAGAGATTCTATTTTAGGTTTTCTTCCCTCCCCCAGCTATAGTGCATTATTATGGGCTGCATTTCCTGAGGAAGTTTTAGTGACATGATTATAAAGTTATATCCCGTCAAATTAAATTGTGGGAAACATGGGAAGGCAGATGAGGTTGTATAATGCTTTTATTTTGTGGTAATTAGTAGAAAAGAATACAGCTGTTCTGCAATTATTCCTCTGTTGCAATGGATTAAAAAAGTATGTAAATCAGGAGTGTCAAACTGCCGGTCTGTGGGCCAGATGCATCATAGCAAAACTGTGCCCACCCCATCGCCGTCAATGGCAAAAAAAGTTGTGGTATGTCAAGACACGTCATGTGACATTGTGAGTTTGACACCCCTGAAGTAAATGATTATGTATTTATTGCTGGCTCTATATTAGTTTGCTGGCTTTAAAAAATGTTTTGATATTCAACCATCATCACGAAGTAAATGAAGTTTTAAAAACTGCAATCTAGCAGTTATCCATATTTTCTTGCATTAAAATATAACATATATGATCAATTTTGCTAGATCAGACCAAAGTTCTATATCCCCTAACATTCAGTAGTCAAAAATAAGCCCACAAACAAGACAGAACTGCAATAGAACAATTCCACTCACATTCTCCAACAACTAACATTCAGAAGCATACTTCCTCTTGTCCTGAAAGTGAGTTACCGCCATCATTTCTAGAAGCTGTTTTATCCTTTAATCTTCTTGTAAGGTCATCCTGATTAATAACTGTAATTAAATCTTTTGTATGTGAACCCCATAATTTAACAAAATGCCATGTGGAAAATCTGTTTATTTTTATTGAATCTGAAATTTCTACCTATCAGCTCATAGATGTTATCACCCTGAGGTTCTTGTACAGTAGTTTCCAGAAGAATCTGATGGACCAGAGTTAGAAACAGATTGCAGATTTAATAAAATATTGGCTTTATCCAACAGAGCTCTCTATGGTTCTATGGAAATTTCTACAATTCCATCAGGAACATTTGCACTTCTAAATAAGGTAGGCATTTCAGTTCCTCCTTTATTAAATAACCAAAATAATAGAAAGTAGACCAGTTATTCAAAAGGGAATGCAGCTGCTTCCTACTCACTGTGGAATGTTTCTAAAAGCCATTACTGATTTAAAATAACTCACTAAACCTGTAATTATTGCTCAAGCAAGTTGTCAGCCCATGAAACTAGCATAATATCAGAAGAGCAATTGTGTGTAAGAGGCAGGATCTTCTTTTTTAACCAAGAAAATTACATGGGCAGTTAAAATATGAAGCTGCTTTGTTACGGGTCCAAATATTGGTCTGTTTATATTCTTTATAGATTGGACTTATAAATTTAAATGACTGATAAGAACTATAACTGTTGGGTTGCAGTCTGTAAAGGGAATTCCCAAAAATGTTGCCACAGAAATATCAACTAGTGATTTTTGATTGTCAATTCACCTGAAAGTTAACCTAAATTCCATCATTATGAGGGGGAATAGCTGATTCCATGATGATTTGGAACAAACTCTTCATAACTTGAGCATAAACACTTAATGACCATCTCAGAATTTGCATGTTATACAGGAAACAGTGTCTTATAGTGACTGTAAGAGAGAAGTATGGTTTTAGGTCATATAATCTTAACATGATCAACCATTTAAAGCCCTACTCCAATATAGGGACATTGGGAATTACCCATGACCATATTTGGTGTACAGGTCTGAGCAGTTCCTGTAACAAGGTAAACCCAAAGTGCTCCCTTGGGTTTACCTTGTTAAAGGAATAAGATTTTATTAATAAAACAATTACTTTTTATTTTGTTTGTGACCACAAACAGCACCACTCAAACTACGTAATACATTTTAAATTCTTTGTTAAGCACACAACAGAGAGCAAGGGAGTCATTTAGAACATGTTCTATGCAACCCACATTTTTACCCATTGAAAGTTTTCTTCCCCTAGACCAGGGGTATCAAACTCGCCGTGTCACATGATGTGTCATATCGTGACTTTTTTTTCCCTTGCTGGAGCTGGGGTGGTTATGGCTTCCGCATGACGCATCCAGCCCATGGGCCGGCAGTTAGACACCCCTGCCCTAGACTGTTCTTACCTACAAGCAGCTGATGCAAGATATATCAGCCTACTGAGATGCAATAAAATTTAAAGAAATCAATTTCAAACTATAGAAGGCAGATCCCATATCTAAAAAAAAAAAAGTTGAAAATATTTGCAACAATTTTCCAAATATTTTTATTAGCCCTACTTGTTTCAAGGCAGAATTGTTTCTTGCAAAATAGATAATTCACTTCTTAGAGATCATCACCTCCTAAATGATATTAATATGTCTATTAATAATAGCACAAAAGCTTGTGTTCCTGTCTCTTCATGTTGAGGCATATTAATGTATTTCTTCATCTCAGATTCTTTCCTGTCACAGAAGCTTTCTTTTCCATAAAATCTAATGCATAATGCATGCCCGGTAATCTTTCATTGTCCCAGGAAACTGTAAACAGGAATTAGATTTCAGTCAGGCTTGAATGGAGAAACACATAGCTTCCTTGCAGGCATGTTCGCTACCTCTGGCAAGCAGACCTTCCCTTCCTCAGAATCAGAAGTAGAACAGAGAGGCCTAAAATACTCCAGAAATATCTTGCAAAGATGAAATCAATAGAAAATGCTGTCATCAGGGATCTTCAAACTTAAAGACCCCTGTTCTAGAATCAGTGCCTATGACTGGAAAGATTTTATATTCCTTTTTTTTACTGGTTATAGCAATATTTCTGGGAGAAAATAACTAGTTGCCTCTTTTCCTGATCTGCTTCTTCCTCTCAACTTGTGTGGATACCAGATGCTGTTCCTACCCTTTATTTGGCCAGCCAAGATGGCAGATACATCTACTTGAGGTGAGCAGCCTTTATCTGAGGTCTTTCCCTGTAAGGTGGATTAGCTTCTCCAATCTCTAGTTGGTCCAGTTACCTTTCCTCTACTGGGTGATGGCAGGGTGGAGTGGGTAGGCAGCATCAGGTAGTTGACACAATTTTCTATAATAGAACTTGTTCACCTGTTTCTGATGTTCCTCAGTTGCTTCCTAGGGATTAACAGGGCAGTTTGAACTTCTATGAATTTAATACATGTGGTTTATAACCGTAGTGGGAAAGGAGATGGATATTACAGCTGGCTGACTGGGGTGTTGAAACCCAGGTTATGTCAACTTGAAAATCTCCATTTATGTAAGAGTTTGTGGTGTACATGTGTGTGCTTTAAGGATTTCTCTCATGCAAACAAGTTGTGAAAGTTGATTATTAGTGTGCATGATTCAAAGCTTAGAACACATCTATACTGTGTGGATGCAATGTTGATTTATACATTTCAAGTCTCAGTAATGTTTACACTTTCCCAAAGCATCTATCATAATTTGTTCATCTTTAAGGTGTTGCATTTTTTTTTATTTTCCCAGCATAATAAACTAAACATAAAAGCACAACCCGTTTGAAGGGTAAAGCTTGCCAGCAGGTTAACCTGACAGTGGAAAGCCTTCATTGACCTAATCATTAAGGTCCAGAAAATTACCCACGGCTGCAACTCGTCCTATGAAATTCTCCATTGGGTAGAGTAAAAAAAAAAAAGCGCTGCAATTTACTTTCGCTTGAAGTTTTGAGATATTACCACCTTTTTATTATTATTACAGGTTCTAGCTTAGGTTTGCTATCCTTGAAACTCAGCTCAAACGAGGTCTAATTTCGTACTTCGGCGTTTCCGGGAGGAGAGCAAAACCTCTGGTGGCGGGTCAGGGCCGGGCTTCGTTCCTGTGGAGAGAGCCAGAGAAGGAGAAAAGGAAAGGCGGGAGCCAGAAGCACATTTTACTCGGGCGCCCACGGACAGCTCGCTCCAGAAGTTAAAAGGCATTGCTCGAGCATTCGGCGTAAGAAGAATCGAGCCTCCCGCGATCTCCCTCCCCCCCCCCCGAAATTCTCGCCCGCTTTCACCGACTCTTCTTTTACACCGGCTCCGAGTACCAGGAGCCAAGGGCAGCCTCTCCTAGAGCCTCACGCCCAACGACGCAGGCACGCCCACACAGAGGAACGCCGCCGCTGGCGAGGCTCGCAGACGCGGCTGCCGCCGTTCTTTCTTTCCCATTCGCGGGAGCGCGCGCCGGCGCGCGCATACAGAGGCGTATATAGACCCAGGGAGCAGCCGAGCCTTCCCCCACCCGGAGAGAAAAGCGTTTCCGAGTCGGCGCGGGCACAGATACTCCTCACTCGCGAGGAGCCTTGCCCTAACCCGCTGGACGCGGGCAGCGGCTGCGCTGGCGTCGCTGGCATCCTGCATGCCAATGCTTTGAGGTCACTCTCGTATGCGGGAAGCCTGTTGCCGCAGAGGCAGCTACAGCTGGAGAGCCTCCGGGAGAAGGGACCTGGGGGGGGGTCCCGCGGTGCCTCTTCCTCTCGGGAGCTTGTCCGGGCGCCCAATGCTGCTGCTGCTCCCGCTCCTGCCCTTCGTTTGGGCCCCCGCACTGGCCCATGTCTGGGAGGTAAGCACATCCCTCATCGGAGGCTTTCCTCGCGGAGCGGGTGGGCTTTTCCGCGTGGGGCGGGGCGGGGCGAGGTGGGGTGCATAGCGGCAAGGAATTAATTTGTGACAAAACAAACGAGACAAATGGATGCGGGCAGCAATAAGACGGCATTGACCTGGTTAATTGTGTGTGCAAATGCAACCATTCGGTGTTAAGGCAAGGCTGCAAAAAGAGACGGGAGGCGGACTGAACTCAAGTTCCTGATCAAACCTTCCCCAACGTGCCTGGATGGCAGTATTAATCCAGCTGGTCCAGTTGCTGGACATTCTGCTTAGGGGCAGTGAGAACTGCAATCCACCATCCTCTAGAAATATCTAGGCATAAAGTTTTGCATTACCCCGGCTCACAATTTTCTTCATAATGTTTTTCTTATTCAAAAATTCACGTGGCTGCTATATCATATTTTTTGGTGTGGTCTGAATTGAAAACTATTGTTTATAATTTAGCCCACTGGAATGTGTGAGCTCAGATATTTTGGTGCAAACCATGGCCAGCTGCTTGTTGAATGAGTTATATTATTACACTTCACAACCAGTCACTCTTACTTCATCTGAGAATTTTTTTGGCCACCTTGTGTGGATTCCTTAATGTTTCTATATAAAACTGATAAATTGTAAACAAACACAGAGGCACAGCTCTGTGACTTTGTTGCAGAGAGGACTTCTCATGCTGTTTTCTTTTGGGATAAATGCCTTATGCAGAGTCCAAAAAAATAAGGTTAGAAAATAAAAGCAAGCATTAAAAAAAACTATTTTACAACAACACTACAGTATTTCCTGTGTACTTTTTTTCTGTTTTTAGAAATTATCCTTGTTTCTGTCACATCATAAAATTTTATTCAGCTCTGTTTCTCTTTAAGCTTCTCTTTTATTTTTGAAAATCTCATCACTTCATCCAAATGTGACTTTCTTGGTTTTCTTCTTTCTCTCAACCTACATACTTTATCTTCATATATTTGTTTTGCTATTGAGTCCTAACTCCCCCTCTATGATCAAACCACTTAAATACTTTGTATTCAATCCATATTTATTTAGCATTCATTCTTGGTACTATTTCTTCTTGTTTTACTACATACACCAATTTCCCATTCCTGCTCCATTTAACTATGTAGCTTTTAACACACCCAGTTCTCACTTCCATATATATCAAATTAGGCAGAAGCACATTTTAAACACAATTTTCACTTCTTTCAACAGATTCCTCATAACAGACTACTACCCCATTGCCTTTCTTACCATTATTTGGACATGTTAAAATTTCTCATCCATGTTCCTATGTTAAATGTACTACAAAAGTACACAAATTCATCTGCTTGCTCTAGTTTATACAATTAATGTATAACTTGCAATCATTTATTCCATTTTCCTTGTGAAATATGACTACCATAAGTCTTTGATGCATTACTTTTGAGACCCATAATCTCTGGGTTTCAATTTATTCATCATTCAATTTATCTAAATATTCTGTGCAAATTATTTAGATTCTCAGTTAACAACATAGCATTATCTGCAGAGAAAAATTTATATCTTTAGCCAACATATTTCTATAGTCAACCTATGAGTTTCTATTTTCATGTGCTAACATGAGAACTTCATTTTTATGACATACATTTTATTCTTTTCATTCATAAATACTTTCACTTCCCTGCATATATTTGTCATATCTAGGCCATCTTTATTAGGATCCATGATATCCTTCTCTTTTTCTTACTTTCAGAGACATACTACTTTCCTTTCCCATACTTTTTATCATATATATCTCTTATATTCTAAGGAACAATGTCCTCTATGCAGTGGTCCTAACAATATGGTGCATAGATACTGACTGCAGTCCCAATCATGTTTTAGTCAATTAAGTCTTACCATAATAATTTTTAGTAAGATTGAATAAACTAGATCACCACTTTCAGTTTGCCTATGCATCATGTAATCTTCCTTGTTAATAATGGTTAGGGTATTTTTGGCATAATTTAGCCAGTAGGAAATTATTGGAGCAACAACTAAATATATGTTTATGGAAATTCTCAATCATCCAGATCATGGTTGTTCCAAAGATGCTTTTCAAATGGCAGCTGGACTTTCTTGGCTTTTTCCTTGAACACTTCTTGGATGAGAAGTGAAATGTCTTCAAGGGGAAAACCAAGAATGTCCAGTTGCCGTTTGAAAAGCACTTTGGAATGAGTACATATAAAATTCAGTTATACATATATATACTATCTGGGCTTCTTTATCATAGGTTAAAAGTAAAAGCAAATTCAGAAGGTTACCACTATTTTGATACTTAAATTTCCATGTTTTACAGCAATCACAAAAGCTTAAAGAGGATTGCATTTAATATCTGGCTTGACCTTATGTTCTTCTACTCTTAGAGTAAGCCCTTTCTTGGGCACCAAACAAATTTTATGTAAGGGGCTTTAGTATAATAACTTGACCTTTGAACCAAAAGAGTACAAGTGTAGCAACAACTACAGAACAAAGCAAATTCAGTTCCTTTGAACAAGAAACAGTATCTACTGATGAGTTTGGCTTCCAGGAAAGCACATCTTGGATGGAGGTGATGAGACCTTGGCATTGTGTGATCAGCTTAGCTAGAGTCAAAACAATGATAATGGCTTTCTACTAATAAGGAAGCAGTATCTGTCCTTTAAATAGTTCTGTGATTATGGAAATGTTCAACAGAATTCTTCCTGATCAGCAAAGGGTAATACTAGGCTTTCAGAAATTTCTATTCAATCCAAAATATGAGGCAGGCATAATTCTGATAACTGAAAGCTGCACTGTAGTATTCTATGCTATCTGAAACACCAAACCAGAATTTCACAGACAAGTACTGACAAAAAAGAAAGAAAAATGAGTAGCTCTCTTGCATAAAACTTGTGAAGTTTGGTATCACACATTTTTCCTCTTTGTTACTTTCGTGTTTATTTTTTTTTTATTGAAAGTTTTTGAATTTTACAAAATAAATCCCTTCCCCAAACCCCCCACCCTCCCATACCCTCCCCCCTCTCCCCAAACCTCCCATACCCTCCCTCGACCTTCCCAGAGCTGAGTACAGGCTTAATTTAAATTTTTCAAAAAAGATAAGAAATAAAAAAACTTAAAACACATATAAATCCAAACAAATCTAAATACCTTAAATTAAAGAAATTGTCTTCTCTAAAAAATAATAATAAACACATATTATGATATACTCTAAACCATTTCTAATATTGTAGTTATATTATTACCCATCATTCTATAAAGAATCACCAAAACACCAATTTGAACATTACTTTCTTTAAATATCTATACCTACACTATAAAATCTGATCTAATCTCCCTCTTTCTTTAATCTAAAACACAAAAATAAGCATATGAACAATCATTATACCATTAGGACTGGATACTCATTTAATTATATCTAAACTTCTTATCTAAAATTTAATTAAACAACTTAACTTCTCTTAAGAATAATTAATAATAAAAAAGAAAAGAAACCAATCTTTAAACAAACTATAGTATACTCTACACCCTTTTCATATCATTTATATTATTATCCATCATTTTATAATATACTCTAAACCTTTTCATGTCATACATATTATTATCCCAAAACACATATTTAAATATTATTTAAGACATTTTCCAAAAACATTATAAATTTTACTTCTCCCGCAATCTCAATAATCTTCTAAATACCTAAACAAAATACTTAAACTTAAACTTCTTATCTAAAATTTTCATTCAGTCTCCATAATCTTCTGTCCAATAGCCGGTTGCGTCCACTATAAACACAATCCTTATCAGTCTCTCTTGCCCATAAGCATCGAAAAAAATGCATTAAAATCTGCCCTTGAAGATCGCTCCAAAAAATTTGTAAGTCCTGGTTCTCCCACAAACTCAGGAACCAATACCTGTGAAACTTCCTCAACCTCCTCCTTCTGTTGGTCTTTCTCTTTACGTTTACATGTTGCTTTTTCTTTACATTTATATGTTGCACAAGTCTCAGGAACCAATACCTGTGAGGTTTCCTCAACCTCCTTTTCTATACGTTTATATGTTGGACAAGTTGTCTTCTGGTCTTTCATCTCTTGTGGAACTTCCTTAAGCTTCTTCTGTTGATCCTTTTCTTTACAGTTATATGTTGCACAGGTTATCTTCTGCTCCTCCATCTCTACTTGTTGAGGCCTCCCATTTTTAATTAATATAGGCTCTTCAGACTGCAGTTCTAGCATTAAAGATTGCTCCAAAGAATTTATAAATCCTACTTCTCCCGCAGATTCAGGAACCAATACTTGTGGAACTTCCTTAAACTTCTTCTGTTGATCCTTTTCTTTACAATTATATGTTACACAGGTTGTCTTCTGCTCCTCCTCTCTACTTGTTGAGGCCCCTCAAACTGAAGTTTCCCAATTTTCATAATTCTTAACACTTCTGACTGCAGTTCTGCCTTTTTTTCTTCCAAAGCTTTAAACATGATAGGTGATGATGAGCATACCCCCAGGACCGAAGTATAAAAATCTTTTGCTTTAGAAACAGTATTAAGACTGTAACGTATCCCCAGGTAGCTCACCACCATTCCAGTCGGAACATCCCATCTAAACAAAATTTGTCTCCTTTTAAGTTCATCTGCTAAAAAAGCAAACTCCTTTCTTCTTCTTAAAATTTTTGGTGGGATCTCCTTTAAAATTATAACATCTTGTGAAGCAATTTGAAACCTCTTCTTATAAAAAGCTTGTATAATTTCATTGCGCAGGGATCTTTTCCCAAAGTAAATTACCACATCTCTTGGCAAATTCTTTTGCTCTGCCACCACAAAGTTAACTCTAAATATCTGATCAATTCCACTAAGTATTTCCTCTTCTTCTCTGTTCAGAATCACAGCAAAGTCCTTTGCCACCATCTCTCTCAAATCTCCTTGCACAGACTCATGTAAACCTCTTATTCTTAAGGCATATTCCTTATATTGAAGCATAAGAATCTCATCTTGAAAGTTTTTCATCTCTTTTTCCATACTTTCAAATTTTTCCTCCATCAATTCCACTTTTTCTACTACCTCTACTACGCGAGAGTTCAACTTTTCAAGAACAGAGGCAACTCCTTTTAAAGTCAAAACTATCTCTTGCCTCAAAGTCTTATTATTTTCCTCTAAAATCTCTTTCATTTCTCCCCTAATTTGAAGTATCATATCTTGCAAATCCTTCACCATTGTTGACTGTGGCAAGGAAGAAGGTGAACCTATTAATTTAGGTTGTTGCCCTGACGATAACACTGAAGAAGAAGCCACCTTGGAACCTGTAGAGATTACTGGACGCTTTGGGGCCATCTTAAAAAAACTTTACTCCTTCTTAAAAATTGCAAAAATTAAGCAAAAAAAAAAAAAAATAAGAAATTAACTCCCTATATTCAAAAAAAAAAAAAAAAATCCTTCAAGAGGGATCATTATTAAAAAAAAGGGAGTTCAAAAAAAAAAGAAAGAAAAAGGAGGAGAAAAAATAATTAAATAGAAAAAATCCATTCCATTTTTAAAAGTACCGAAAAGTACAAAATACAAAACACGAAAATTAAACAAAAATAGTAATACTAACACTCCATTCCAATCATAAAAAAAATAAAAGAGAAAAAAGGAAAGGGAAAAAAAGAACACCAAAAAGCCTGCCGGTCACCATTCTAGCTTCCGAAAAAAAAAAAAAAACCACCAAGAGGCTTGCCGATCGCCATTTTACTTTCCCTTTCAACAAAGAGGAAAAAAAATAAAAAGAGGGAGTATAAAAGTAAAAACAAGTCTTGAAACTTAAAATCCAAATAAATCAAAGAAAGCAAAAACTAAATCCTCTACTCAGCTCTGTCCGTTTATAAAAAAAACTCACCAGTTCTCTTTAATCACGGAGGTGGTTGCAGCGGCTCGTTTTGTCCCTAAGGACAAAAACAGCTGGGAAGCGGAGACAAGTCTGAACTCCATGGGAGCACTCTTTTCACCCCCTCCCCAAAAAAACTTGGGGGGTGCATAAGAGGCTCTACCACTATTCAGACAACTCTCTGCCCCTCCCCTTTGCCCGGGAGGGGGTTTTGAACCGCTGAACAGCTGATGTCTGCTGTTCATAGCGGTTCTTACACTTACCCAGGAGGACGGCTACAAAGTAGCCGCCATCGCGCGCGCAGACTTTCGTGTTTATTTTATTATTTAGTCACTAAGTCATGTCTGACTTTTTGCAAGCCCATGGACCATAGCACGCCAGCCCCCCCATCCTCCATTGTCTCCCAGAGTTTGCCCAAATTCATGTTCATTGCCTTGATGACCCTATCTAACCATCTCATCCTCTGCCGAGCCCCTTCTCCTTTTGCCTTCGATCTTTCCCAGTAACAGGGTCTTTTCCAATGAGTCCTTTCTTCTCATTTGGTGGACAAAGTATTTGAGCTTCAGCTTCAGTATTTGTCCTCCCAAAGAACACTAAGTGTTTAAGTCCTTTAGGATTGACTGATTTGACCTCCTTGCAGTCCAAGGGACTCTCAAGAGTTTTCTCCAACACCACAATTTGAAAGCATTATTTATTTATATCCCATCTTTATTATTTTTAGACAACAAACATATCCAACACACCTTCAACCTCCTATTTTCTGCAGTGGGAGTGAGACTTCAGAGTGCCATGGAGTTCTCCATAAGTTGTTCAGAATCAAGCCAGGAATTGGCAACATCTTACATTAGATATGGAAAAATAAATGATGGGGAAAGATCTCATTAAGTTAGAAATTTCTCACTGCAATACAGACACAAAAAGCCTTTTAGAATTTCTTATCATTTGTATTTTATTCACTTTTGCCACTCTCAATCATGAAATTAAGTTTAAAAAAGTGAGGAAATAATAGTATGTATTCTAATCACATAGGATGACAGATGCAATCAAACAGACTGGAAAAAACCTTTAGATGGAGAAGTATCAAATAAGAAAGGTAAGGCCTTTTTGCTCATCTCATTATCAAGCAACTCTAGGCAGCTTTTTACTCATTATTACTGAGAATTCCAAGATAGAACATTCAGGAATAATCACTTTCTATTCTGGGCCATCAAAATTATAATGTGTCCACACGTTTTCAAAGCCACAATAATTTCCCTGCAGACTGCTCCAAGGAAAAATGAAATAGAGATTGAAGGGTGTCAGCAAGAGGTGGAAAGGTTTTTCTTGTCTTTCTAGCCTTAATTTTCAAAAGAGGTGCAGAAAAAGGGCTTGACTTTGGGAATGTAAAATTTCCTTGCCTTCCACTCAGTTCAGCATCTGTGGGAACCTAAATCTGAAAAAAAATCTTAAGTCAAAGATTCATAAATACTGTGTTTGCAAAATATACTAGACTATGGTTAACTGAACTATAGTTTACTGAATTAATCTGATTGCTGGATTTACACTGTATTATTCCAAATGCAGGTTATGCTTAGCAGTTTGTGCTTTCCTTTCTAGTATTTTGTAGTAATTTAAGTTTTTTAAAAAATATTAAGTGATGCATAAAAGAAAGTGTTCATGGCTGTGCACATTGGCATCATGCTGTAGGTACATTGAGTCATTTACTGTAGGTTACAGATCCCAGTGTCTGGTTTTGTAGACTACATTAAGCTAAAATGAAATGTACCATAATAAAATTTAGGCAATCCATGGCTGTAACCAGTTTTCAGAGAGTCTTCCGATCCTCAGAATCAGCTTTTCTAGAAGCACACTGCTGCAGTGGATAGAGTAGTTCAGCAAACAGCTGGGTTCTACTCTGAACAAGCAGAAATGTCTTTTGCTAGCACTAAGATGCTATTAGATACATTCCATGTTGCAAATGTGATGGAGAGGAGCAATAGTAGGCCACTAGTTTTAAAACTTGAGCTCATTCTTTCTTTTCCAATAGGAATGAAATGAAATATAGATTGTAGAGAGCTGACATTTTCTTGATTTTTTTTTCGTCAGTCTTAATTAAATCCGGCCACATGCTTGCTCAGCCATTAATTGTAGCATGCAGGAATCTTAAATAGGTCAGTTCAGCACATGCCACATACATAGCAATTACCAGAATTGTCAAGGATAAGACTAGCATAGACTGTAAAACAGGCTCTGCAAGCAAACAGATTTGTACTTTTTTTTTGTATGTTAGGAACCAAATGCTGTATTTCTATTACAAAATAAACACAAATATTTATAATTATAAATTCTTAAAAGTATGTCTTACTGTGCATTAGTAACAAGTTTCTTCCTTGAACTAATAAAGCCACTCCATAAGCTGGATTTTAATCATCCCAGATGCCTTCATATCTCTCTTTCTGCAGATTTAATAGCATAAACTGTCATTGATTAGAGCTCACTTATTCAGAAGCGAAAATATTAATTTCAGTTATGAGATATGTAGATATAAAAGTAAGAGATGGTAAACAATAATAGTATGAGTGATGTTATAGAGTCTTATTATATTGCAGCAAGTGAGCGGACATGAGGATAAAGCAGGAATCCAGATTTGTTGAACATTTTAATTTTTGTGATTCTGTCTATAAATGCAAAAGTTTCATCTGAGAACTAACTGTAGATGACAGAAAGGTTTTTTTTTCACTTTTTAAAATCTGTAGGTGGCCACACCTGGAAATGTGGAAATCTGTTTTACATTTCATAATTTAAGAATGTGAATTTAAATGTATGTGGAGCATGAAGAGCCAAAATAAATCTGGCTCAATTATGATATTCATCTTTAATCTCTTAATTGTAGACTGAACTTTGCATCTGGATTCAGATAGATATAGTGATCAGTCCATTTCTTGTATAAGATGTTGTCTGACAATTACATGATGAAACAGTGACCCTGGTATACAAACTACAGTTCAGTCCTTCCTTGACTTAACATCGTAATTGAGTCAGGAATTATGGTTGTTAAGTCATGGTGGTTGTTAAGCGGATTACCATATAACTGTACCTATTTTTATAACCGTTTTTGTAGTGATTGTTAAGTGAATGTGGCAATCATAAAGGGAACGGGGTGGTTATAAAGTGAACATGGTGGTCATTAAGCAAATTCATGCATTTCTGGCATTTTTTTGCTGGAAATTGGCAAAATACCAGTATCCAACAAAAACATTGTAAATTATGAAATGCTGCAAACAGCCATAAATGCAAGCTGGTTGTCAAGCACTCAAAATGCTATCAAGTGACTGCATGGGTATACGTGTGTGGCTGTCAGAACTTTGAATCTGGGTCCTAAGTAGCTTTGGGGAGGTCCATCATAACTTCAGTTATATGTGCTGTAGTCATGTTCATGTCGATATTGAAGTAGACAGTGATAATGTCTTAGTGAAATTTCTCAAATTCCTCAGTTCAGCTGATAAGGTGCCACTGGTATATATCAGGTAGAGAAGAAGCATTGGGAATAAAATTAAAAGCACCAAATGCAAGAAAGCAATACAGTTGCTAAGCACCACATGTTCTGTCTTCTGCAGGATACCCATTGAATGTGACCATCAACAATTGGGGTTATTCAAATGCTCTCTTTCTAACCTGGGAATATCTCTTGGGAAATGCCCAGAGCTTCTCACTAGCTCTTTATGACTTGGACACAAATACTCTACTACAGAATGCATCGTCTGCACGCAATACCACCAGTTTCAGCTTCCAAGGCTTGCTTCCTGGGACACAATATATTATTGAAATCACTGCATTGTTTGCATGTGCACAGAATTCCAGTAGAAGAATCACTGGGCAGACAGGTAAGAGATAAGTTGGAAACATTTTCAGCAAAATTGTATTTTGATACATGGATGATTGTCTTCTTGCACTTTGATTCATACATTCAATGTTTTGTTATGTCTTCAAGCCACAATGCCCAAAATTAATCTCACAAAATCAAACCATACAAGTTCTGGGCACATCCTTGCATGAATAGTAGTATCTAAATCAACTGAATATAATATACTTTCTAGCAGGTGGCCTAGAAAATTTATCACAGTTACTTAAACAGTAGTTCAAAATTTCAAGATATACAGTATGTGTAAAGGAAAGGTCATTATTCCATAATCCATTTTCAGCTGTTACATTTCATTAAAAAAAATCTGAATTTGGAAGACAAAAATGATAGGTTGTTTTGGGGTTATAACATTGTTTTCATTAAGACTTTATTCTGTTTTTTAAATACTGCACTTCAAAACAGTTATATACATTGGAATAAATGTCACATACAAGTTCATTTGTTTCTTTTTACTGCCTGTTACATGATTTTTCATGTAGGTAATAATGAACGTATTCCTCCAAATCTGAATAGACTGGCATCTTACACAACAAAATGCTAGTTGTTTTCTCTTTCTAGCCTGTAATTTGTATTTTCAAGTGCATATGGAAATAAACAAAGGCACTCTGATATGTAGTCTATCCATGTGACTTGCACAGAAGACAGATGTAATTGTGCGACGATAATGCCAGAATCTGCAGTATGCTGGCAGCTATGTTAACTCAGCATTGTTTTGCAACAGGCTGTTCTTACTATGGCAGTGTGATAAACACTGCAACATTCTGACATTGTCTTTGTGGACATGGGAATCTCAGAAGCCACTCATTACAGAGATAGTTTATAATTTTTTGTTGACCCATCTGATGTGGGTGATTATGTTCAACTATATACAATATTTTTTTTCCATAGGAATGGCTTTTCAGGTTTATAATAATCTTAGAAAGGTACACGTATTCATTAGCAGAAACCTGCTCAGGGTTTGTTTGTTTTTTGGGACAAATCCTATTTTAGTTCAATTCAGACTTTCATTGTCAAGTTGCAGATTGTTTTGAGAAAGTGGCAACAAAATGGAAAATAAGCTGCTTATTTGCATATAGATTCTTTGCATGTGACTATTTGCATATAGGTTGAGAATTCCATTGCCCAATCCCGAATGCACCAAAAGAATCACCTTTCTCAATAATTATGTTTAAACTTTCATTGTCCAGCTTTTTTATTTATTGCCAAACTGCAAAGTCAACACTGAGGTAACATTTGGGAGTATGTTAACATGAGGGCTTCAGGCATGATGAGTGAAAGTGTAACATCCTGGTATGGATGCCTTCTCTTGTTGACAACTTTTTTTTTTAACTTATGTTTTATTTAAGAACCATTACCTGTGCGGGATGTTATCTTGAGTCATGAAAGTCCCTCAGTATTATTGGCCTCCTGGAGTGAATCCCCAGGTGGGAAAGATGTCTACCAGTTGGTTCTCTACCACATAGATTCACAGGCTCTTATCAAGAATGCAACCGTTGCTAGAGGAACCACCACTTTCCGCTTTGAGAAGCTTTTACCAGGCAGTGAATACGCCCTCCGTATCACCACATGGGCTGGATATTACAAAGCAAGCACCAATGCACGAGGATGGACAGGTATTGGGGAATGGATAGATTAACCAGTAGGCTAGAGAATAAAATCAATTATGTGCAAGTGAAAGTATTAGCAGAATCCAGCCAGCTGTACCAATAGGCCCCTGTCACCTGATTATGAAACATGTATGTTTCATAAATAGTTTGTGGGGTAGGGATATAAAAATTAAGTTAGCATTATTGAGCCAGACTTTATAAGCCCATAAGAAGCTCATGCAATAGTCAAAAATCTATACCATCTTCAAGCAAAAATCAAGACAGATTTTTTTTTCTTTTGAAGCAAAGCTGCACAGTTTGAAGTATATCTGAAAGATTTGGGTGCAGAACTCCTCCAAAAGTTATTTCAAATTGTAATATTAAATGATACAAGAAAGAAACAATTCACTCTAATGAAATATAAGTGAAATATATTTCATTTCATTAATTTTAAGACTTTAGTTTAGATCTCAACATAATTAAGCCAACTTTGATATTTGTCCAAGTCAAACAAAGGCCATTTTGATCTAGGAAAGGTATATGTCAGTAGGTTGAATTTTTTAAAAAACCTTCCAGATTCAGCTAGTTTATGAACATATTTATAAGGTAGCAACGGTTCCATGTTCCTAAGACTACTTTATCAATGCAGGCTAGTTGTTTCCATAGATTTGTGAGAAAGATGGATTCCTCCTTAGAGTGATGACTCTCTTTGTCTCTCTTTTGTCCCAACAGCTCCCAGTGCTCCCAAGGCATTGACATTCCAGAACAACAATTCCAGCTTCAGTTTGACTGCCTCATGGACTAACTCAGAGGGAGCAGAATGGCTATATTTCACTCTGCAGAACCTGCACATCCCTGCTGACAGCAGAACAGTGTCACTTAAGAGAGGCCTAACTAATTACACCTTCCAGCATTTGGAGCCTGGAACATTCTATCAACTGGAGGTTAAAGCCATGTCTGGGCCTTACCTGGTTAAGGGTCCCAATATCACTGCTTATACATGTAAGTATGTAGCAAGCTATTTGCTTACAATACTTGGAAGTGGGCAGACCCTATGAATCAGATGAATTTCAGAAGAGGTTCACCTGTGTGAGAATAGAGAGTTTTTGTTCTAAGAGGCCAAAAGCTTTATCTATTAATTGTTTTATAAGGATATCAAATACTCTCTGTATGAATAGATGGAATTTTTAGGCTGGTTATAAAGACAGTCTTACAGTGTTTGTTCTCTATATATGTTTCTCTAGTATAGGAGATCTTCCAGAATTATCCGTTTTTATAGGTACACTATATATATTTTATTTATGTAGTCACAGGTTTAGAATTTCAAAAAGCTAATTGGATGTACTTTCATTCAACTTACCTGCTGCAACTGATGTTTACTTTTTAAAGCAGGTAGTCCCTTCAGATCCCTTTGCCTAGCATTAAGCTATTTCTGTGTTCTAATACTAATATTTTCTTAACAAGTTTGCAAGAAATACTTTTTCTATTCATTTTTCATCAGTATGACTCTCTCCTGGCATTGCTACATCTATGAACCACACTTTTTTTATTTTCAATAATTATTGTCTGGTATGTTGTTTTTCAGGTATCTATATTTTTTCAATTAATCTGTACTTTTTCACTTTACTGAAATTATTTGAATTCTTTCACAATTTTTTGTTTGCGTTACTATTAATGGACATTGGAGATGTCTGCCTTCTCAGTTGACATCTGGCAGTTTGTTTGAAGCGTCTGATAGCAAGGCAATTACCATTATAGCTCTCAGCCTCACTGAAGAGAGAGAATTTGTTCCAAAGGGAAATTATTATTGTTGTGACTGTTATTATTATTGTTTTACTTTCTGGAATTCAGTTCTTGTTGGAAATCAACATGATGGAAATTGAGTCTTTTATCCCCCTTTCAATTTTTATATTCAATTTTTATATTCAGAAGACATCTTTGAAGTCTGTGTCCCCTACAGCCATTATGTTTTTAATTAACACCGTTTCATATTTTTCTGCATATTGGATTAGATTCATGTTCTAAATATATCCTTATCTATTTGAGCTATCCAAAGCAGTAAAGATGCATTCTGACTGAGTATTGAGTTGGAAGTGGTCTGGAAAAATATGCCTGTTTTGATACTTCTGTCTCTCATTATAGAGTCTATTGTGCTAAGTAGATCTTCTAGCTTCAGGGATGAGATAGAGAACAGGAAGTATGTGAGCAGTTGAGAATTCAAAGAACTATGATTGATTGATTAGGTGATCTTTAGAAGGTTTATGTATCAGTAGTTTCTTCTTTGTGTGAAATAAGGGAGATGAATTCTACTCAAGACTTGCCCTATTTAATGGTCTCCAGATGAATTGAATTGAATATGTTATTTAACAAAGTGTGATTATACACATGAGGTAATTGTCTCCAGTGCAGAAGTTCTTGGTGTACATGTAAAGCAACAGAATCATCATCATCATTATAATATTAATACTAATAACGGGGGAGTAAGAAAAATAAGGATAAATAATTTATTAAAGTCATACTATATGGTAAATATACATAGACAGTAGACAACACTGTGAGAATTAGGTGTTCAGCAGATTGATGGTCTGAGAGAAAAAAATGTTGGTGTCTAGTTGTTTAGGCCTGCAATGCTCTGTAGCACCCTCCTGAGGGGAGGAGTTGAAACAGTTTATGTCCAGGCTGTGTGGGGTCTGCAATATCTTCTCAATATAAAGGTCTTCTTTGAAAGGCAGGCTGGTTGCAATTTTTCTTTCTGCAGTCTTAACTATCCGTCGGAGTCTGTACCTTACCTGTCTGAAATACAAATGACAGGTTCAATAATTTCTCAATAAAACTATTAATAGCTTCTGGGCTGGCTGAATTTCCTGAGTTGACACTGGAATGTTGACACAACATTTTTTGTTGTGCCTTTTTAATGATGGTTCTAATGTTAAGTATCTATTTCAAATCCTGGGAGATTATAGAACCCCAAAATTTAAAGGACTCTACTGCTGATATTGTGCTGTCGAATATGGTAAGAGGTGATAAAATAGAAGAATTCCTCCTAAAATCCACTCTCATCTCTACAGTTTTAGGTGTGTTCAGCTCCAGATTATTACAGATGCATGCATCACTGGGCCAATTGTTCAACCTTACGTCTATATGTAGACTCATCATTGTCTCAAATGAGGCCACTGACCATTGTATCATCTGCAAATTTCAAAACTTTAACAGAGGGGTCCCTTGATATGCAGTCATTGGTATAGAGAGAAAAGAATAATGGAGACAGCACACAACCCTGAGGGATGCCTGTGCTCATTGCCCGGGTACTAAATGTAATTTTCCCTAGCCACACTTATTGCTTCCTATTTCTCAAAAAACTGATTATCCATCTACAAGTATGAGTAGATATAGTGAGCTGGATCAATTTAGAGTAGAGAATTTCTGGAATGACGGTATTGAGCTGAAGACCTCGAAAAGGACCAGTGCATAGGTTCAAGTTGTTGCAGAATGTAGTTTAATAACATATTTACAGCATCATCTGCAAGGCATCTAACAGATAACTTGTATTAAAGAACATTATCTCTTTTATCAGTAGCCCCCAATGATGTTTGATGGAATTATATAACACATTCGAGGATATCTAATTGGACATGATTAATCAGAATGATTTCTAAATTATTTACTTATTATGAATGTTGAATCTTCCTTTCATCTTTTCATAGACCCCCTGAAACCAGACAATGTATATTTGATCAACTATGGCAAAGATAGCACTTTGAAAGCTTCATGGAACTCAGCAGCTGGTAAAAGAGAATCTTATTTGGTGATTCTGAAAAAAGCAGAGGATGGCATTATGGTCAAAAATGTATCCATGGGAGGAAACAGCACATATGTCATCTTTAGTGACTTGGCCCCTGGAAGCCACTATACCGCTTGGGTTGCAGCTATTGCTGGGCCCCATAAAGCAACAGCAAAAAGCATCTCTGCCTGGACTTGTAAGTAAGAGCTGAACTTCAGATCTTAGAAGAAGAAATGGGGAAGAGTGGTTGCAAATTAACCTCTAAAATACCTCCCTGCAAATGTTTGGTTTGAGCAGGATACTGGCTGAAAGAAGTAAAGATCCATTATCTTCCACTCAGAGATTGTCCTCCAGGACTGGGGGGGGGGGGTGTATATTTGCATTTGGTTCCTGGAGTCAGCACTTAGGACATTGTGGAATGGCAGCAAGAGCCAGCAAAAGGCAGTGACATAAAGTGGGTTTGCCCAAGATACTGATTTTTTTTAAAAAAAAAATTCTTGAATTTTAAAGAAAATGATGTTGATTTATTTTAGAGAATACTTTACAGTTTTGTTGTGTTTTCAAAATGGAAAGATGTGATCTTGATTTTTGGCAGTTACAGGAGGAGAAAGTTCAAGAGATTGCAATAAAAGGTGGTCAAACCCTGCTAGATCCCAATCAATTGCTATGATGATGGTGAACACAGAGTGTCAGATAACATCTGTCTAATTTGAAATTACAGTTTGGCATGGGACTAAATAATTTCTGCTGTGCTCTAGTAAGGAGAAGAAAATGAACATGTGGTTTGAATATCAGGATACCAAAACAAACAACCATTACAGGCTTTGTGAGGAGGTCTTTTTTTTTTTTTTTTTTTGGCACTCTGCCATTCCTCAGACCACAGTTCCCCATCTTGGATTGTTCCAGGTCTTTTATAAGAAAACCTGCACACAACATTCTGGTTCTTTTTTCTCCCTTTCAGATCCCATGGCTCCATCTAGTGGGAATTTGTTGAATCAAGGCAGTGCCTACATGCTTCAGGCTCACTGGCAAGAGACAGCTGGGACTGGTTATGTGACAACGTTATATACCATGAAGCCCCTTGTTATGTTGCAAAACAGTTCATTGCCTAAGCAGTCCTCCATCCAACTTTATGAAGGGTTAAGACCAGGCACCCAATATGCCTTGGAGATCTGCACAGTTGCAGGCCCCCACATTTCTCTACCACTCCATCTCAGCAACTGGACATGTGAGTGTCAGAAGAGCAATATTGTTCTGTTATGGAGAGAGGTTCCAAGATGGGGCACAGAAAATGCAATTAAAAAAACTCACATCAGGGATGCAAAAAAAATGCAGTTATCCTGTATCCTTCTTTATTGCAAAGTTTTTGTGCTTTCTGAATTTGTAGACATTTCTTTATCCAAGCTAAGTAGCAACACTGAGGTTACCTAGCTAGGTAATGAATATGGTATTGGTAGTTTAGCGTTATAGTTTTTCTTCCAAACAACATCTGGAAAATAAGTATAGACATTGTATCTGTGTATATGTATCTACACAATAAAACTATGTAACCTATCCTCTTGGCTTGAATAGGAAAGTTACAATCAGCACAACTTCTCAATCTTAACCCTTATGCAAGAGCTTGCAATCTTAACAGCTTTAATGAGAAGGGTAGAAATTCTGAAGAGAGCAATAGAACCCATCAGAGGGACTTGGCATAGCTCATGCACAACTGTCCTGCTGATTAAGAGAAATTTCTCCTTTGCCTTTGATAAAGAAGCCTCTCTATTTAACAGCAAGCTGTCATTTTACGAGGGAGCTTTATCCCCAAGTGGGAGAGCCCAAAATATCAGCTGTTTCATTTTTTTTAAGTAAGGATTTTGGGTGAGGCAAAAAGAATGTCTCAACTCTTGCAGTTTTTTATCTCCTTCATCCCTTTAAATAATCCAGTCTTAAAATGTGTTCCTCCACTTCACATTTGCTGAGAGAATTGTGCATTTTTGTTCTAACAATTATGATCTCTTCTAATATTGCAACACAAAAGCTGATTTGATTTTTTAAAAACTTCTAATGCGCACAGGAACCCACATAAGATCTGGGTTTGGCCTTTCTATACATGATTTTATATTATAGAGGATTAAAAAATGCATATAATTCCATAATTAGTAATGTTATTTTAGATTAGATCAGTGGTTCTCAATCTATGGGTCGCGACCCCATTTGGGGTCGAACGACCATTTTACGGGGGTCGCCAAACAATGCGATCCGCCACTTTTCCCCCTCAGAGGGCGGCGCCGCGCATGCGCGGCGCGTCCGTGTGACAGGAGTCGCCGTCACACAAAGGTTCAGAACCGCTGGATTAGATAGATAAAGCAGCTATAGGGAGAACATGCAACCATTAGCAGGTTGTTTTTATGAAGACTCTGTTGCACAGTCTATTCCAATCACAAGTAGGATCCAGCTGTTCAGAGCCTTGTGATCGAGATTTGCCTGAGAATCAACTAGTTTTGGTTTAGGATTCCATGTTTCCTTCAGGACAGATGTTATTATGCAACTGTCAAGGAAATTTTTGGGCAACTGTCTAGGAAATAACTTTGGTCAATTGTAAGTATTTGCTTATAGTGTATAACCTGCCTGATATTGGTTCCATTCTCCTTCCTTCAGATCCTTTGCCTCCAGAGCACCTGAAACTCAGCAATGATGGTCATAGAATGAGATCGCTCCATGCTTCTTGGCAGAATCCCTTCAAAAGCGGAGGCTTCTACGTAGGAGTTCTTCTGGAAACCAAGTCCCAATTTGTGATAAAAAATTTGACCCTGGCAGAGGCTAATATCACCTTTGAAATGCTCATTCCAGGACGTCAGTACACTCTGAAGTTGGCCAGAGTGGCTGGACCATTTCAGTCTCATGTTCAAATAGTTAGTGACTGGACATGTGAGTATGCCGCCATTCTCAGTAGTAGTAGAACAAGCCTCCTTCTCCAATGTGATACTTTTCAGTTGTGCTCAACTACAATCACATAATCCCAACCTTCCCATTTACCATACTGGGAGACGCAGTCCAAGTTGTCAAATTATTGCATTGATGTAAAGTTGCAGCAGAGGATTTCTCCTATTCTTGTTTGACTTTCAGTGAGTCATATACTTACAGGTAGAAAAAGTATTAGCAAACATAAAATATCTCATTGCAAATAAAGACAGGAAGAGGAAAAGGAGAGGTAGAAATGAGAATATTTGTGAGTTTGAATTTTTGCTAAGGTAAGAACTCGATCTGATTTAGAAAGGTAACAGTATTTCATCCAAATTCAACAGATTTCCTGAGATTTCAGACATCATATTTGAGTTTTGTTTTTGTAATTTGTTCAAAAATTAATTGTATCACAACAATTCATGTTAATAGGTTAATTATATCTTAATTCACATCAATAGTTTACAATTAATAATTTACAAGGCAGGAATAAATCTAAGATATGGATGAGTTAGTATCTCTTTGCTATTATCTAGTGGTATCTGGATGTTTATAGCCCAGAAACAATATATTGATTAAATGATTCTCATATATGTGATCTTTACTACTTTTATTGATTGTTCCAAGATATGTCACTTTTTTACTTAGAAATCTTTCCTTCAAAATAAACTTCTGTTCATTGCCTGAATTCTCCAACTTGGAATGGAATAGTAATAGATAAGCCTCTTTCTTTCAGATCCTTTGGTGCCATCGGGAGTGACGCTGGCCAGTAGCAGGCGGTCCAGCAGCCTTTTTGCTTCTTGGGACCAGCCTCTAGGTGACAGAGACCAGCTCTTCTTGCGATTCTACAGTCTGGAACATCCTTTGCAGAGGAACATCACAATTGGGCCAAGCATGCTAAATTTTACATTTGAAGGTCTTCAACCTGGCATTCAGTACTTACTGGAGGTTACAGCAATGGCAGGACCATATCAAGCTTCATCTTGGGTGGTTTCTGCATGGACATGTGAGTGTTTTGCCAATAATGAGACCCCGTAGCTGAGACTTTCCTGAACACACAGTTTTTATTGCAGGCTAACATCTCAGTAAGGCTAAACATGTATAGCGTGATGTACCAAAGGTGCCTTTTCAGGGGGCAACTGGACTTTCTTGTTTTTTCTTTGAAGACGTTTCACTTCCCATCCAAGAAGCTTCTTCAGCTCTGACTGGATGGTGGGGAATGGAAGGATTTATATTCCTTGCAGACAGCTGGTATTTGCATTCTTTTGGGGAGTTGTTGAGGCCTAACATTTAGAGGTTTACCTGTGTCCTCAGGGTCACCTGAGCAGTGCAAATGTGTGTGGAGCCTTCTTGGCTGCAGGATGTTTTCTGCCCTGTGTCCCTTCACTGTTGAAGACAGGCGCAGGCTGTTGGGGATGCGTCTGTGTTGTCTGCATCTCAAACTGAAGCGCAAATGTAGTCTGCAATGTTTTGTGGAAATTTGTTCATACTTCCGCCCGCACCATTTGAAGAGAGTTCATCCCAAAGTGCATGACTAAATGTCTATGGAGATTCTCATTCATCCAGACCATACCTGCCTTTTTCTAAATTCTGGCTGTCATTTGCCAACCTTTTTATCATTATAGATCCTCTATCTCTGGCAAATGTGAGTGTAAAAGGAAGCCATAATCCCCAGCAATTGATTGTGAGCTGGATTGAATCAGGAAGAGGACGAGGATATTGGGTACAGCTCTATTCAGAGGAATCCCTGTCTATTATCCAGAATGTGTCTGTACCACATGGAACTACACAGGTGACTTTGGATAATCTGGTGCCAGGAACCCGGTATCGTGTTGAAATTGTCTCCAGAGCTGGACCTCACTACATTTCTTCCCAAATAGCCATTGGCTACACAGGTATAATCTAGGGCTCCTTCTGCCTTTTCTTCCATTCTGTTTATTCAGCCTGAAATAGCTTGGGACTGCAAATTTTTCAAGAGGTCTATCTCCAATTGCTGATTTTGACAGAAGGATCAGAGCTAGGTTATGACTGAGATATTAAGATCTAGCTAATCATTGGTTCTATATTTTCTCTCCCTTGCCTTTTGAATTTGCACCAATACTATCCCATATAATTACATATTTTAGAGGAGGTCGGACAGCCGTCATTGAGGATGTTCAGTAATTACTCCCTACTTTACAAATCCTGAGTGAAGTGGATTAAACAAGAGGGACACCAGTATCGCTTTTTGATAGTTATCCTTTGGATAGTTCCATTCTTTTCACCATGATCAGCCCACTACTTAATTTTTGTAACATTTTTAGAGTGCTATATTGTAATGTGTTTATTTACTATTTATTATTAAATTTACACCTTGTCTTCCTGATTATGTAAGCACTCAGAGAGTGTATAATAAAATACAAAGCAAAACCAATATAATCAAAACAATTACAATAAAAATTTAAATTAATGTTAAAATAATTAATAATTCAAAATTTCATAGTACACATTTTGCTATTTTCCAAAATAGTTGGTGAGGAACAACCAAAAATGCCTATCTTGGGAAGGCTATTCCATGGCCTGAGAACCTTGCAGTAGAAAACCTTTTTCCTATGTTCCAGTTTTGCTGTTCTAGGTAACCTGGCAGATTCATAAACCATAGGTCCTGAGTCTTTTAGGATTGTAAAGGTCTATGAGATTTGGCAGAACTAGCCAAGACACATTACTCCATCTCGTTTTCAATGTGGGTCAGCCTGAGATAACCAAAGCATTTTAAAAGTACATTCTGAATGAAAACCTGTTTGAAATGTGTCTACATAGCATGCTGTGGCTTGCGAAAAATCGGGCACAACTTAGTTACTCATCAACAATATCACATGCAGTACATCTGAACCTTCAGAGCAACCACTTTCTTGATTACCCTATTCAATAATGAAATATTTGAGATTGGTTTATAGTTAGAAAGGTGCTGGATCATAGGAGGATTTCTTCAGTGCATGTCCTATAACCACCTCCTTTAAAGAGACAGAAAATGCATCCCATGTTCATGGAGCAAGTGCCACCCAACCAATTTAATCAATGGTAAACATTGAGCATGCAGAAGTTGGGATTCCATATATACTTTTTTAAAAAAGTATATCAGCAGAACAAGCAACTACTATGCCACTCTATGATCTACCCAAATGCTTAAGTCCAAATCAGAGCAAATCTGATTTATTTTCTCTTCAAAGAACTAGGCACAGCCTCCAACTATTCTGATTCCTGATTCCAACATCTTGTTACTGTACTGGGTGTTTGTGTGTATGAGGAAAAATAGATAGGATTCTTGGTGTCAATAAAAAAATATGGTTAAGGGCTATCTGTGATTCATGGGTATAATGATAACTTAGTCCCCACATGCCAATATTAATATTTGTAACGTACAATACAACATTACATATATGTAGTGTACAATAACATTACATAATGACCCAGAGCCATTATAAGAGACAATATTGGAAAAGGAATTGGCCTTTAGTTCCACTAAGTCAATAAATGAGACTCTTATCTTTTCTGGTGTTAATGTTCATATTCCATATTGTATTCATTATTACCTAGTACTTCCTCTTTTCTATAATTATATCTTAATTACTTAACTATGTCTTAATTACTTAACTACCCTAATGGGACAATAAAAAAGCAATGAGCCTTTGCACTTGTCTAATTATATTTGTACAGCAAACATTTTCTGATACCACTTGTGCTGCTTCTTTTAGTGCCCTTGTTGCCACTATCTCTGAAAGTGATCAGTCACAGTTCTTCAGTGTTATTTGTGCAATGGAAGGCCCCAGCTGGGCAGAGAGATGGTTATATGGTGTCTGTATCTAAAGAGGGATCTACAGATACCAGTAATCACATGTTTGTGGGGAAAACCAGCACCAATATTACAATTGTGGGGCTAGCCCCTGGAACCTGCTATCTGATTGCGGTGTGGTCACTGGCTGGACCCTACAGCTCTGCTTCTCGGAACAGCTCAGCTTGCACAGGTAAATGTCACACTGGGGTGGATTTCTAAGTGAGAACAAGAATGGCGTATCTTGGATAATTGATCTCTGAACATATTATATGGTGCAGTGAGTGAATTCTGATGCAAAAAGATTTGTTTATGTTTCTCATGCATGGACTTGCCTACTCTTCAGTCTTGTTCACATTGGAAGATAATGATTAAATTTTATTGTTTCACCATGTATGCTACTATACCATGAAAACAGTTTCTGATTGAAACTTCTTTCTGACTGCAGCCCCTGCTGCTCCTATGAACCTGACTCTGAAAAATATGGGCAATTCATCTGTACTATATACATCCTGGACTGAGCCTCCAGGAGGACGGGACCACTATAGGATGATCCTGTATAGCCTGGATTCTCCAGGCATGAAGAGAGTTCGTGTCATTGGCCCAGGGGTCCAGGATTTCCTTTGGACAGGTTTGCCAGCAGGAGGCCATTTTGCTGTGCAGGTTATTTCAGTGAAAGGACATGCTGAGGCCTCCTCCACCATTGCTGCTGAGTGGACATGTGAGTCTGGCTGTCTAGATCCTAGACTTATGGCTGTACTGTTATGCATAGATACTAGATTGATAAATTCTTTGAACAGCTCTATTCTCAAGATATTTTTCTTTATCCAACTGTTCCTCAGTGTTTTTTCCATTTTCTTTATCCAACTCTTCCTCAGTGTTTTTTTCCATTTTCTTTAGCCAACTCTTCCTCAGTGTTTTTCCACATGCTTGACAATTGCTTATTAGGTCACGTTTCCTTTCCTGAAGTCTACTAAATCAAGCAATTGGATATATCCCCAAGTTGACAAGAGCTTTTATTATTCTTGACTGATTTGATCCCTCTTCTATATGTAATTAGAGGAAAGGAAATGTAGGTCTTAATAACAAGAAATAATAATCTGTAAATGTGCTTGCTCCATTAGATTCAAAAATCCTATAAACATTGATATACATTAAATCCTCATGTGCATTCTCTCAGAGACAAGATAGGCAAACCTACATATTAACATGAGGCCAAACCCATTCAACTGTTTACAGTGATGAAAATATGATGGCGATTTATTCACATAGAATGGTACCTACAGCAGGTTCTTACCACTTTCAATCGTTCGGTTCATTTCACTTTTTACTTTCTCATCTTGGTGCCTTGTATTGGACTTCAACTCCTATAACTTTCAACCAGCATGGTTGGTAAATACCAGTAGATGTGTAGAATATCTGGGAGATACTAATTTGAGAAAAGCAAAGTGATTTTTCTTTGGGAAAAAGCAAAATGAATAAGAAGAAGAAAGGATAACACTTAATAAATGTATTTACATATGAGGATGAAAGTTCGTTCTCCGAGGTTGTTGGTTAGTTTCTGAATGTTTCATTACCAGGATAGATAACATCTTCAGTGGATTTTAGGGGATGTCAGTGCAGTGTTCTTCTGTTTATAAGCGCTTGTGTGGTCAGTCGATCTTATGATGGGTCAGATGTGGGTGTGTCAAGGGAGGGTCTTGTAATGAGTCATTCTGATGGGTCAGGTGTGAGTGAGAGTTTTGTGATGGGGAGCTCACTTCAGTTGAAGGTCATTGGCAAGTGTGTGCTGGTGGGGGGGCTTGCATGGGTTGGTTGAGGGTTGATGCTGTCTCTGGTTGGCTGTGCAGTTGATTTGGTTTCTGAGAGGTTTGTAGGCTGGTTGTAGGTGATGTGTGTCTGTTGATGGAATTGCTTGTGGAGTGCCAGGCTTTGATGAATTCACAAGCGTGGCGGGTGGTAGTGTGGCCAATTATTTTTGTGTTGTTCCAGTTGAACTGGTGCTGTTTGGTGTTGGTGTGGGTAGAGATTAAGGATTTGGGATTGTGGCGTTTGGCCAGCCAGTGTTTATGGATCCTGGTTTTTAATTGATGTGATGTTTGTCTCACACAGAATTGGTTGCAATCATTACAGTTGATTTTGTAGATTACGCTATTTCCTTCATCATTCTGTGTCTTGTCTTTGTTTTGGATAATTCCTGGTGGAGTTTGGCTGTGGGTTTGTGGGCTATTGAGAATTCTGGCTGTCATTTCCAACATCCCTTTTGTGTATGATAGGGTTAGTTTTTGCATGGTGCTTGGCTGTGTGTGGTGTGTTGTGGTTTGCGTGCTATGTCAAAATACAAAGTTTTTTGGGATAGCCGTTATGGAGAAAGACATTAAGCAGCCATTTCTCTTCTGCTTTTCTTGGTGTTGTGGTGCTGCAGCGTGTCCTGGCCCTTCTGAAGAGGGTCTAGACACAGTTTCATTTTTGTGTGGTGGGGTGATTGCTTGCAAAGCTGAGGATCTGGTCCGTGTGTGGGGGTTTTCAGTAGACATGAGTTTCCAGTTTTCTGTTGTCTAGTCTTCTTATGTTGATGTCGAGGAATGGGAGTTCGTTATCTGTTTTCTCTTCACATGTGAATTTACAGTATGCCTTCAAAGGTTATGCCTACCTGATTCAGGTTAGAGCTAGAGAGCTGCTGACACTAAAATAGTGAGTGGGAAGGTTCAGTGGTCTGATTTAATATAAATCAACTTTCTGATGCTGACTTTGACCAGTCTTTATTATATTTTCTATTAATTTGTTCTATTTATTGATAATTGAGTATTGATAAGCAGGATTTACGCCTATCCTCCTCAACTTTGTAGTTCTGCCCGCTGTTCAAGACTGTCCTGTTTACTCAGGATGAGCCTGCTAATTATGTTTGTTATTTGGTAGATTTAAGGTATTGCTCTTGACAGCTGGTTTTAATCTTTATAATTCTGTGTTTTTTATTTTGTTTTGTAAACTGTTCTGTTTTATGTGAAGTACAACTTATACATCTAATAAATATTTTTATTTATATACATACAGAGAAACATAATTATTAGTACTACGGTATATGCGTACAATGGATTCCATATAGAATCCATTGTATAGTTAACATCTTCCCATGCCCTGTAATACTGCCATGTACTGCCATTTATGTCAATTACTGTTACTCACTTTATCAAATAAATTCTTAATTACTTTACAGCTCCTCTGCCAGCTTCCTCTGTGCAAGTCTGGAATGGAGGATACCCAAACAGGCTGCATGTGGCTTGGGCACCAGCTTCTGGAAGACTGGATGGCTACGAACTGAAACTGTACTACACAGGATCCAGCACTTTAGCAACACAAGCACATCTAGGAAAGGATGCCACTAATTTTACTTACTCAGGTTTGACACCTGGAATCAATTATTTATCTGAGATTCTCTCAAAGGCTGGACCTCATAGGACTTCGGCAGGGAATTTCAGTGCTTGGACAAGTGAGTAAATGACGATAAGATCCTGCTCCTCTATTATTGCCATACATGATTCTAAAATGCTGCCCCTTGTTATAATGACTGGCTTCTCATATGTGTAACTTCAGTTGTAGACAGTAGGGTTTGCCCATAGCAATTTATACTCTTACCTGAAAATAAAATGAACTTACAAGGTAAAATAGGTAAGTAAGACAGATAGCCACAACCTGGATTGCCATTGTCCTCATTCTAATGAGAAAATCCTAATATTTTCTCTTAGTTCATTCTTGAATGTTTGATAATCTCTTTGATACCCAACTATATATTTTTCTTCAAAGGCTGGTCTTTTCAGAATCCCCCATGTAAGCTTCCACTTCAGTAGACTCACTCCTAAAAACACATTTCTTCCTCACCATAATCAGTTATTAGACAAATAATGTAAGAAAATTATTTCATCAGAAAAAAAATAGTTAAACCAGAGTCATCAAACAGCGTCTTTGCCATGCATTCCAAACAGAGTAGAATTGTCATGAGTAGAAGAAAACAGCACAAGTGAGTTCCTGATTCTTCAATTGCTCTTGTAATTTTGAAAATGATAAACTCCCTTACTACACTTGGTCTTGTGATCCAGAACAAAGACAGAATCCAGAAACTGTTTTAAACAGACCAAAATGTGTACATATGGCCAAGAACTTGTTAATTTAATAATTAAGTTTTATTTGCAGTTCCATTCCAAGCAATGCAGCATATTGTCATTCTAAAGCTAAGAGGAAAACAGGTCCTGAATCTCACTTGAAATGGTGGACATCTTTGTCACTTAGGTCAAATAAGGAATAATGCTGATCTCCATAGCTTGCATAGTTCAATAGGAAATTTTTTGCATCAATAAATATTAGAATCAAGGAAGCCAAATATATCCAGCAATTAATAAACCCAGTAGCAATTTTAATATAGAATATTAGCATCTGCTCCCAGAATAGAATAGAATAGAATAGAATAGAATAGAATAGAATAGAATAGAATAGAATAGAATAGAATAGAATAGATCTGGAAGGGACCTTAGAGGTCTTCTAGTCCAGCCCCCTGCTCAAGGAGGAGGACCTATATCATCTCAGACAGGTGATTGCCCAGTTTCTTTTTTAAAACTTCCAGTGATATGAGCACCCACGATTTCTGGGAGCAAGCTGTTCCACTGGTTGATTGTCTTCACTGTCAGGAGATTTCTCCTTAATTCCAGGTTGCTTCTCTCTTTGATCAGCTTCCAACCATTGTTTCTCATCCTTCCCTATGGTGAACAACCTGGCCCCCTCTTCTTTGTGGCAGCCCCTCAGATACTGAAATACTGTTATCATGTCTGCACTGTTTCTTCTTTTCTTTAGACTGGCGAAACCCAAATTCCGCAGCCGTTCTTCGTACGTTTTGGTCTCCAGGCCTTTGATCATCTTTGATCAATGGTCAATTGACTAAATTGGTCAATTTGGAAATGGAGCCTTAAAATTCTGCTTGGTTTCAACAAGCAGACATCTGATCCTGTTCTTCTGGTAATGCAGCCATTGCTACATCCCAAAATAAGGCCTCAGGGAGACACAGTCACTTCAAATAATGGCTGAATTATTATCCATCTTTCTAGGCACAAGGGAAATATTTAAATCTTGTTGTTGTTCAGTCACTAAGTTGTGTTTGATTCTTTATGACTCCATGGACCATAACATGCCAGGCCCCCTTTTCCTCCTCTGTCTCCCAGAATTTGCCAAAAATCATGTTCATTGCATCGATGACACTATCTAACCATTTCATCCTCTGCTGTCCCTTCCTTTTGCCTTCAGTCTTTCCCAATAGGGTCTCTCCCAATGAAATTTAAATCTATTACATCAATAATCATGGAACTTTACAATAGAATCAATAATTAATCATTGCATCTAAGAGCTGACCAGGTGTTTGGAATCCATTAGTTCACTAGCAAATACATTTGACTTGACCCAAAAATACTGTGTCTGAGTTTGCACTTGAGATCTGAGCTGCTGCTAACATTATACCAGAAAGAAGATCTAACACTTAAGTAATAGTGGCAGTAATTCTTTCCTGGCAATATCCATTATGTGAAAGAGATAAATTCACACCAATTTGTTTGTTAAATTAGTATCTCCTATTGATACACGTAACTTCCACTTCTCTTTCTCTTCTGCCTAGGTCCTCTACCTCCTCGCAAGGTGCTTCTGTCAAATAAAGGGCACACTGACAAGTTGAGTGCTACCTGGGAACCTCCTACAGGAGATCAAAGTGGCTATGTACTTACACTCTTTAATGCTGCATTGGCCACTGTGGTAGCCAAGGTATCTGTAGAAAAGGACATTACTAATTTCACCTTTGGAAGCCTCATCCCAGGAAGTAAATACTTGCTGGAAGTTTCTTCTATAGCAGGGCCATATCGGATATCATCAGGGAACACCAGTGACTGGACATGTGAGTCTGAGTTTTTTTCATTGTCCATATATAGACATTTCCAGATAGGAACTTTAAACCAATTCAAAATCTACTCCAGAGCTCCTGAAACTCCCAATGTCAGTTGTATCTGAAGCTCAATCAGTTTATTACTGGCTTTGCTGTGGAATATTTCAAATGTTAGCAAAGCTGGTCTCCCCCCCCCCCCCAGTACTATGCCTCTATAATTTACAGGCAGTCCAGATTCTTTCACCCTTCTCCCATGCAATTCCTCCCTCCTTGTTGTCTGTACTCTGTTCTGAAGGTGAAAGAAAGAAAACAATCAGTTTTAAAGTGGTTTTGAAGAATGAGGATTAGAAACCCTAATATGATGGAAGTGTCTTAACTTTTACATTGGTTCTAAATTTCGTCCACTTTTCCTATTGACAAGCTCATTAGCTGCCCCACAGAAAATTGATATTTAGTAGTAAGTGATTAGGACAAAGGAGGGATTTTTTTTTACTTTCTTAATTAGCAATTCTGTTCAAAATTGCTTGAGCAATCAGGATGGAATAAGACAAAAGAGAGATATGAATATATGAATGATGGAGGTGTATGAGCCCCTAACTCATAACATGCAGCATGTTTGATCTTCAAGGCCAAAATAATTGTCCATTTATGCTGTAATGATGGTTGATTATCAGATGAAGTTAAATTCAACTCTAGTAATTATAGCCTTGATATCAATCAATGAATTCAAAATGATTTGGAAGAATTTATGCAGGCACTGAGTATCTCTAAGTCCTTTTTTTTTTTTTTTTTTTGAATCCTGCACAAGATGAGGGGGAAGCTTTTTGAAAGAAGAGTCCTAATCATTTCTGCAAAGAGAGATTTAAACTGAATAACATTCTTAACTACCCTTAGATTTCTGAAAAATGGATTTAAATCGATTTTTGATTAATGTAATATTGTGTAAAACAGCAACATATCCCATTGTTTTTCATGAAATTCTCATTAAATTAAGCCAAAAGAACTGACTAAGTCTTTAAGGATGGTGTGAATGTCTTTGTAAAAAAGCCTGATACCTTAAAAATGGTGGTAGTAAAACCTTTGTTTTAAAAATAGCAACAGCAGTAACAATAGCACTTAGACTTATACACTACTTCATAGTGCTTTACAGCCCTCTCTAAGCGGTTTACAGAGTCAGCATATTGTCCCAACAACCTGGGTCCTCATTTTTCCAACCTCAGAAGGATAGAAGGCTGAATCCTTCTGTTAGAATCAAACTCCTGACAGTGAGCAGTGAGTTAGCCTGCAATACTGCGTTCTAACCACTGCGCCACCATGGCTCTTCCTTTAATCCAGGAGTTCCCCACCAGGGGTGCGAGACAGTATTCCAGGGGGTGCAGAAACTTGGGTTTTCAAAATTATAGTGTATATGCATAATTCATTGCCGTTATTTCAAACTTTTGTAAGGGGTGCGAGAATATATCAGAAGCGTTCTAGGGGTGCAGAATATAGAAAAGGTTGGGAGCCTGCTTTAATCTATTGGACTGAATAGTTTCTAAACAGTCTTTCATGGACAAAATATTCTTGGGCAATGTTCCCGTTATGGCTTTGGAGATGATGCGGTTCAACTGAGTTTTGCGTGTAATTACAGAATAATGATTGTGCACCAAGGCAGCCAGACCAATCTCTGTTACAAACAAGTAAGGGATTATTGATTATTCAGGACTTCATTGTAGAATGTTATATCAGCATTATCATGCAGCTTGTTCACTCTGTATTCTTTTGTTTTTACATACCAGACCCATTGATTCCAAGGAAGCTGTCTGTAAAGGCTGAGAAGGGAAATCCTGCATTGTCTGTGTCCTGGGCAAAACCTGTCAGCAAACCTGAGCGCTGCCAGCTGCAGCTGTGGCATCCAGAAAATAGCACCTTGTTACAGCATCATACCTTGACTCAGTGGCAAGTCCGGCATATTTTTCAGGGACTAGTTCCAGGGAGAAATTATTCTGTATCCCTCACCTGTGTTGCTGGACCATATAAGAATAGTTCTGAAATGATAGTTATGCCAATAGGTGAGTATGTGTTCATCTTTCCAAGACATTCATATTTCTATCTTAATCCCCAGACTTATCCTTTCAATTGGATTATCCTCATTACTGCTAGGACATCAAAAAATTGGTTGAAGTTCAAGAAGCAGAAGAGAATGTTAGGCCAAATTGCAAAGCACAGTATGCTAGCAAATAAAATTCAAATCAATATGAATGCCGGAGACATTTTTTTCATTCTTTGCTTTGAAGCAAAGAACCAAGAAAGTCTCTCTGGCATTCATATAGATATAGGAAGCTTCCATCAAATTGTGTGAATATTGTAGAATCTTTTACACCTGATCTTTGCCCAGATGGATCAGCATAAGAGTCTTAAGAAGCAAGCCTGTTTTGTTCCAAATTCCAGATATCAGAAGCATGATTTTCTTACATTTGTGGTTCAAAGCATCTGTGATTTCAGTGCCTGTTTCCACTAAAGTTGTGAACAAAATAGTGTGAATTGGGCAGAATTTGTTCTATCCCATTTTTTCCTGTATTGCAGATATTTATTAACATAGAGACAGATATGTTTGGACTTGCTCAGTTGATTGTGTCCTGTCTCTCTAGAACCCAGTCATGTGAAGAACCTGCAATGTCTATCGGACACCACTAGTATGTTTCTAAACTGGACCATCATTGAGAATGACATTAAATCTTATGAGCTGACTGTGTATACATTTCCAAAGAGAGTCCTCCAACAACCTATACTAGCTTTGGTTGTTTCCCAAACTAATGTTACTCTGGTAGAGCTGACTACAAATACCTCCTATCAAATCCAAGTTAATGCTGTTGGCAGGAATGACATAAAGGGCCCATCTGTGACAATAGTGTGCAACACATCTGTGGAAGGTATTGATTCTAATCTCACCATTGATTGTACCAAGGGTTACACTTTGTGCTGCATTTTAATGTGGCACCATCTATCAATTCCAAGCAACATTTCTTATTTTCCGCTGCAGTTCTTCCACCTCCTGTGAGAATGGACCTTCCCCAGTTTGATGCCAGTTCCAGAATCATCATTTCTCCTGATACGTTCAGTGAAGAAAATGGCCTCATAGAGTATTATGGAATTGTTGTCACCACCAATGAGTCTTGTAAGTATCTAGCTCTCTATGTGCTTTGCTTGGTAGGAGAGGTTTCCTAATGTACTTAGGACCTTAATGCTGCAATGCTTACAGTATCTCTATCTTTCCAGTACTGAGGCCTACTCAAGAAATCATTTCCCACACATGGTATGACCACTATTATGGGCAGGAAGACTCATATTTGGCTGTGCTGCTGCCAAACCCATTTCATCTTAATGAGAGCAGCAGCCTCAAGGCTTGGCCAGTGCCTGTGGGTGCAGAAGATTGCAGCAACTCCCGAGCAACTTGTAATGGAATGCTGAAAACAAATACACAGTACAGGTAGGAATGTAAAAAAAAATCTGCTGTAAAATACTATAGGTTCATTTGATTTTCATTGGTCATCACCTAGGAACCTTGAGGGAGTTTGCAACTATCCTCTAGTATTTCCTTACTGGAAGTAGTTAACAATCATACTAGTCCCATCCATCTCCTAGATTTTTGTGAGAGTAAAAGAATGGCTATCAAAGAAGCATGCCCAGTGGCCGAACTCTTGGGAGAGTTGAGGATGATATAAATGCAATTACTGAAAGTGTAAGTCAGTAAATAGAATAATCAGAAGTTTTATTTCAATATTCCTATAGGTTCAGCATTGCTGCATTCACTAGATATAGCCAACAGACTCCAAAAGTGTCCTTCACAGCATTCTCAGGTAAGATCTATTCTTTGTTTATATTCTGAATTAGATGTCTAGTTTCTGTCTAATTAGGGTTTCTCCTGCCTGTCCCAAATATTCAAAGGAATATGTTAAATTATCTCATTACATTACCAGTTGTCCAATCCTTTGCATGTCTATCTAGAAATAAGCTCCCATCTTACTGCCCTATAAGACATATAGTGTCAGGTGCAAGTAACCAGGAATGGGAATTGAGTTCAAAGCACTAAAACTTTATTTATATGCTACCTATACACAAGAATCTGATCTAATGGTCAGGCGACATTGGTGTTAGATAAGAATCAGTGGAATTCATGGGGGCTTGGCTTGGATTTCTTGTTGGAGCGCAATGACTACAAAATTATGATGTATTTGACCCTGCCTTTGGGCTCACCCTGCTCATCTCCTACGTATAGAAGGTATGTACATTGGAGCTGCCATTAACCAAACAAGGTTTGCTTCCATCACCTCAACAAGACCTGCCGAGTCAGAGTCCAACTCCAAGTGAGTCCATGTGACTTTATCTGCCAGATGCCTAAATTTTTTCTCAGAGCAACTGTCCAGATGATCTTGAGAGTCATTCCTCCAGCAAGGAATACTGATTTATTTATATTTATTCTTTCTGGAGGGCTGCCAGGTGGCTAGCTAGGTAGTGTAGGTGTGATAAGAAAGGGGAAATAACTATGTTTTGCAGCCCTGATGCAATCCCCAATATGGGGCTCTTACTTGTCTTAAATGTTGTTGTAACTGTCTCTTCTGAACAAGCTCTGTGGGTACAATATTGCTGGAAAATCTTTTGGCTCTGTGGGCCACACAGTTCACTCAGTGACATTTCCAGACTACATCTGTGCATGCACACGTATAACTTGTACCCCAGTACGCACTGTTCAGTTTTCACAATATCTTCCAGGATCCTGTCTTCCCATCCAATTAAACTATATCAGACTACTCTATGTTGGTCTTTGACTGTAATAATGGTTGCTTGATTGATATCTGAATACTATGGTATTCTATTCTATTATGGGTTATGAAATTGTTCTTATGGACAATCATTTGTCTTTCCTCATAGGATAGTGTCTTAATGATAATGCTATATGCTTTCTAATCAAATTATATTACAATTTATTTTGACAATGTTTTTTTTTCTGGGCCTGAGAGAAAGTTACCTTTTATAAATGTAATTTTTCTTTATTTTGATATCTAGCAGCAGCTGCTTCAGCAGATTCTGCAACTTTGTCTGCCCCAGTTGTGGCTGGAATCATTATGGGATTCCTTGTGACAGTCACAGCCATTTCTGTATGGGTTTATTGGAAACATTTACGAACAAGAAGGTAATAAAATAAAATAAAACAATAAAGTAAAATATAGGGTTGTCTGCTTTGGAGCTTGGCATGGGACGTGAGTGGAATTAGTATAAAAATGGTCCTAGCTTATCAGCTATCTTTTTTTTTAGATAGCTGATCTATTTAAATGTGCATGTTCCTGTCCATAATATATCAGTTAGTTGAATAGCACTAGAGGGTAAGAAAAATAGCTCAACAAGAGTCTATCAAAATGCAGTTATGAACAGTTGCAGAGATAAAGAGATGGTGATGGATATGGAGAGATATGGACATGGAGATGGAAGGGGAGGGTAAAATGAAGAGAGAGGGAAGGAGGGAGGGAGGGAAGGAGAGAATGAGAGAGATGAAGTACATTTGGAAAGACATGCCTCCTCACCAAAACAATAGCAATGTCCATGTTATGATTTCAGAATAGAAAAGGGTAATATACCTCAAGAAATGACCATCTACAGTCTCAGGTAAGTGAATCAATACTCATCTTTCTTAAGCCAGATATTAGATGTGGTAGGATAGATACTCCAATGTTTTTATGAAAGAACAATTGCAACATTCTCAGAGCTCAGCTTATAGATTTGATTTGCAATGAAAAATTATCTCCATGTCGAGCTTGGGAAGTTAGAAACAGCATTTGATTTTCTTTTGGCATAAACAAGGATTTTTAAACTATATCCTTAAAACAGGGATAAGTAATCAATACCTATCCACATTTTTCTAGCATATCCAAAGCTTTGAGATAATAGCAGACATGATATCATAAAGAGTATAACTGGATATTGAAGTCCATAGCTGTAGTAAAAGCAACTCATGAGCATCCAGGGAACTAAAGTCTGTAGCATTACAATAAAATTCAATTAATTTTGCTTCTATTGCAAAACAAATAGTGTATATTGCTAGCTTAGAACTTAACTAAAAGAAACATGAATTCTATCTAGCTTATTGTATATGTTGGTTATGTCAGCCTTGTGACGTCTAAGTTGTCTGCTTAGCACATCTCCTGTTTCATTGCTCTCTGAGCATTTTTTAATTCCTTGCAGGAATACCCATCGGCCAATCCCTCTGCAAAGTTTTAGACAATATTATGAGACAAGGACAGCAAACTCAAATAATGGGTTCTTTCAGGATTTTGAGGTAATGATTCTAGATAAAATTCTATCCAGGCTTAACTGTGGCCATAATTAAACAACAGCTGTATTCTTTCTAGCTTATATAATGCTAGAAAAGAGTTAACCAAACTGCACCATCCACTGTATCTTCAATTTGATGCTCTCTGGACTATTTTTTTCCAAATAACCCTTCCCTGTTTGCTTTTTAAAAGTCCATTAAAAGATGCTTATTACATCAAGCCATGGGCCTGTTGGCCTTACAAGCAAGGAATTCTAGAAATTGAAGTTCCAACATATCTAAAAAATAGTAGATTGGAGAAGGCCGGTCCATTACAGGCAAGCCAGATAATTAATACAAGCTACTGCATGTATTAATCTATGTACACTGTCTCTTTTCTTCTTGCTACTCATAGCTGGTAATTTGATCTGGAAGAAATGGCCTTTCTTTGATAGTCACTAACTCTGTCAAAATCCATTAAGTGCACCCCAAAGGACTGTATTTCATGGAGCCTATAACTGTCAATATATTTTCTGTTATAAACAATATACAGGGATGAAGGATTATAATACAGTTAATGTATAGTTGACTCCAGAAGAATAACCTATTTAAGAATTTTAGCAGTTTGAAGTTTATAAGATATGAGCTATGGAGGGTGATGGTTGTTCATCTCAGATGGAGTCTTCACTTTTTATAAATCAGCTCACCAAGAATATTCCTTCATGAACAAGTTTTGTCCTAAACGAGTACAGTAAATTACTTCTCTGTAGGTGGTAAGAATTGTGAGGAAAATGTTCAATGATACAGTATCAAGTAGCAGAGAGTCTTTAAATTTAAACACATTTTCCACCTCTAGGACATACATTTTTAAACATTTAACAGAGATTGAGGAAAAGTTGAATGCAGCTGCTTCTTGCATTTGATCCTTTAGCTTTACAAATGGTCAGCTTCAATACTATGGGAAATATTTGTTTCAAATATATCTTAATAACTGTCTTTTCAGATTCATTCCACATCTTTATATCCTTTGGAATACAATTCCCATCATCCCAAGAAGCATAGATATTGGCTGTGCTAGCTTATGGGAATTGTAATTGAAGATATCTAAATTATGCTTTTTTCAAATTGAAGCTTGGCTCAAACTGGGAGAAGGATTTTGAGAATATGTGACTATACTATGAAAGATTTTTTTTCTTTTGCATTGTACAGGAGCTGAAAGAAGTTGGAAAGGAACAGCCAAAGACAGAAGCTGAAGTTCCAGCCAATGCCATCAAGAATCGATATCCTCATGTTCTACCATGTAAGAGCTCAACAGAGTCATACTTTTAACATTTATTTTTGTTTTGTTGCAAGTTTTTAAAATTACAAATACAAAAAAACAGAAAGCCAGATAACTATTAAAAAAACCCTAAACAAACTAAATAAGGGTGACAAAAGAACATAACATATAAAACAAGGAAAATAAAAAAAGATTATGAAATATCTGAGCATATCACCTATATAGTAAATGTTAAATAATATAACAAAATTTCAAACAAAATAGAAAAAACTTGATGGTATACTATCATGATATCTGTGCCAAAAGCAATAAATTGCATCCATTTTTGTAGAAAAAAATTGCCTTTTTTGAGAATGAATAAATCACACATTTTGAATCAAATCCTTAATGTCTCTAATAATAATGCATTTCCATTTTCTACAAATTATTTGCTTAGTAGTTTTCCAACATTTCTCAAAAGCAAATTCTATACTTTTAAAACATAATTTAAGATAATATTAACATCCTTTCCCCATAAATGTATTTATATATATATTAAAATATTGTTCCAAAAGGAAGACAGTAATTCATAGGAATCCTGAAATGTTTTACATTGCTAACGAAGAAAATTTGTTACCCACCCTTTTGAATTTTCTTTGAGGTGTCCATTAACCTTGAAACATAATCTTTTGATGAATCAGTTTCCATCTTAAATCCAATGAGAGCAATTTACCATTATTTCAAATTTTGCAGCCATTAGTGTTCCATTATTGGATATTTCTTGTGCAGATGGTTGGTCACTGTGAGAACAGATTATGGATCAGATAGGCCAGGAGTCCAATCCAGTAGAGCACTGCTTATGTTTTGGTGTTCTTCTACTGTGGATAATTTCTCATACTTTCAATCATTACTACATTTTCTGTACTTTTCATTTTGCAGTTATATACATAACTGTTTCACAGAAATTTCCAATGCACTTCCAGATAAATAGGAAAGATATATTTGGGTTAGTACAACTTCTGTTAGAATACAAGCGTTCACCTTTATTTTTGGTTTTTCTTTAAGGTATCTTACTTAACCAAGATGTGGTATTTTAATGCAGCTCTTTGGTGAAAACCTGATTTATTTTAAAGAGGCACAAAATCATACAGTAGAAAATAGATTAATTAGTGGCTTAAGGTATTGAACTAGGACTGAAGACAACCAGGTTAAGTCTATCTTCAGCCATAGAGGCTCCCTGGATGAGCCTTTATGAGGCTTACTGTCAGTCAGTGTCTCTTACCCAACCCACTTCACAGGGTTATTGCTGTGGAAATATTGGAAGAGAGTGCTTTGTACATTGCTCCTAGGGAAAAGAATATAACATGCATACATACATACAGAATTTCCAGGTTTTGAACTTGGATTTTCCTGATTTTTACTTTTGTTCTTATAAATTTATAGTTGTGCACATAAACTTGAAAAGAATTATATTACCTGTTATTACTGTAGCTGTCTATGTTGTATATTGTGTAGTTCTTCTAAAACAACTCTTAACTCTGCTTTTATTATAGATGACTATTCTCGAGTGAAGCTGAGCCTTCTGGATGGACAACCCCATTCTGATTATATCAATGCCAACTTTGTGCCAGTGAGTTCCTGTACATTATCTTGGTCCACATTTAATATTGGGAACATTATGTTAGCGTCCCTGTAATAAGAACTTCATGTGAAATTTTACAAATGAATGTAACCATTTATCAGAGTTGGCTTTCTGATAGAAAACCCCAGGGAGTAGAATATACAACTAGTAATTGCATTAGAACTGAATACAATTTACAGAAGAAAATTGAGAGAGATGTGGCTGACAAGCAGTAGGGCAGTAGAAAATTGGAAGGCAAAATCGTATGCAATACATTAAGACAACTGTGGTGCCCATGTCCATATAATGTCAGTAGTATATAATAATGGCAATAAGCAAAGCATAACTAAAATAAGAGATTTAACTACAATTAGAGGGCATAGGAATTATATCGTTCAAAACTATCTAGAGTTTTTTTTTAATTCTAATTACATCCCTATTGTTAACTATCTTTATCCTTTATGTAGTCATAGAAGATCCAGTATTTCTCTTCAGTGAGATAAATAGAAAGATTATACCAAGCCCAACAAGGCAAAATAAAAGAAAAGGAGGCTAAAAAAGGAAGATAAAGCTTTGTGTGCCAGATGTCCTGTTCATAACTTGCTGAGAAGGCAACTTCAGATATAAACATTCTTTCCTGGATAGATTTTTCTCCTTAATCTGTCCTTAAGTTAAAGTTTGAAGTTTATATACAATCTCAAATATGTCATCCACTGGCATTGTAACAAAAAAAGACTCATGTTTGAGCTTTCAAGCAGCAAATGAATTATTACATTTTTCTTATCTTTTTTTATTTAAAAATGTAAAGCTTCTGTGGTAAGAGAGTTGGGGTGTGTGTGACATTACAGCATCCAATAAGAGTCATGTAAATTCAGTTTTTTTCTTAAACATGCAGAAATTGGATTTTTTTCACCAGAGGTTAATCCTAGAGAAGAATAGGTGTGTTTGGATTTAATGCAGCAAGGGCTCTCCTGGAGCAGCCCTGTTGCTCTAAACATGTTACTTCTCTCTTCTTCTTTTCTTGCTAATTACAGCTGTATGTTAAAAAGGTTGGATGTATCCTCATGCCTCTCTGGTGATCTATCCAGGTAAAGGCTACCCTCCATCCCCAGCCCCCCACCTGTATGTGTGTGCATGCAGTAATTTATATTTGCATGCACATGCCTGTCTAGTTATACATGGACAGTGTATTTATTTGCACAGCAGTCATGTTTGCATGCCTGTGTTAGAATAACTGTGCTTAACTTGCACATTACCTTTTTCATGTAGGATCAGATTTCCTTAGCAAAAGTAAAGCTTTATCTCTTTTACATTCTGCACTGGCTTAAAGCAATTGGCTAGCCACTGCTGGAAAGAAGCTGTGGGATGAAAATGATCCTGTCATCTCCTACAGATCCTTGGTCTTCCCTGTCCACCCAAACAGTTCTCTTGCTTTATTACTCATCTAGGCAGTGAGAGGCATGGTAGAAATAACAGCTTTTAACTTTCCCCCCATATTATTGTCCATTCAATTTTACGTTGCTGGCCACCACACTTTAGACCAGTGTTTCTTTACCTCAGCAACTGGGCAGTTCTGGGAGTTGAAGTCCATACATCTTAAAGTTGCTAAAATTAAACAAATAATTATCCATCATAACTAGAGATGAGATTAGATGGAGAGGAAAACTAACAAATCAGATTATGCAACTGTATTTCTATTTGACTGTATGGTTGAACTATCTTAGTTTTAATATTAGGTACAAACCAGATAGAATAATGAGTCCTGGGACTGCAGAGGGATGAATCAGTGGCGTGACGGCTTTTCCTTCCCTGAAAACAGCCATGGGACAACAGGGGAGTTTTGTTAGGAGTGAGAGAGGAACAATACATTGACTTAACCATTTCTACAGTGGACACAGAGCATCCTGTAATGCGCATGGCAATAGCAATAGCACTTACACACCGCTTCACAGTTCTCTACAGCCCTCTCTAAGCGGTTTGCAGAGTCAGCATATTGCCCCCAATTCTGGGTCCTCATTTTACTGACCTTGGAAGGATGGAAGGCTGAGTCAATCTTGAGCCGGTGAGAATCGAACTCCTGGCAGTGCAATACTGCACCACCACAGTTCTTACTTCCCTTTGCTGAAAAGGCCAGGATTAAGATTAGATCTGATGCTCATTGTGTGGAGGGTTTGGCTTGATCTTCTACCCTTTGAGAAGGTAAGGAATATGAAAGAGATGAAAACTATATACAGCAGACATGTCAAACTCACAATGTCACGTGACTTCGTGCAATGTATCGGAGTTTTCCCATTGCCGGCAATGGGGTGGGTGCAGTTTCTTTGTGATGCATCTGGCCCATGGGCCGGCAGTTTGACACCCCTGATATACAGTAAGCTGAAATTGATGATCTGAATGTCTAGTTTCTGCTACAGAAAATGAACCTTCATTGTAAGTCTATAGTGGTGGCAGAGCATTCTAGTATTAAGTATCCCTGCAGGTGAGACCATATATCTAGAGAGTAACCATATATCTACTTCTTGCTAGAGACTATTTTCTGCAGAATCTTCCATCCAGGAAGGTTCTGTCTTGTGATACCTCTTAGTTAGCATAGGTGTCCAGAACTTTATGCCAAGGTATTTCATCACTTCTAGAGCTTTCACTTCTAGAGCTACCACTTGAAAGCTTTTCATTGAGATCTCCAAGCATCTCTGGGATCTTTGAACTTTGTCAATGTCTCTTAGTAAACTTGTTAGCCATACAGTAATCCCACTCTGGGTGAGAATGGGACATTATTCACATTAGCATCTATTATAAAAATGAAGGTGTGCCTGGATTATTTGACCCTGCCTAACCTATCTGTGCTCTGGAGGATGAGTTAGCATAGCTGTTTGGCCCCTAGCAAAGATGGATGCAACAAGGGAGACCCTTATGACTAAGGCCAAAGTCTTGTGCAGTCTCACTAAAACAAAAATCCCTTCTGCTGTTCCCCAGGGGTTTGGAGATGAGTTCCGTATCTTTACTGTCTGTCCCAAAACCAGAGCTGCCATAGAAACAACTACTGGGGGGGGGGTGTCTTGAGAAGGTCTAGAATGCCTATGGAGAATACCACCATAGAGCCTTTATTCTTCTAAAAGATTTTACTAAAGATCATGCAAAATAGAAAACATGATGTTAGCTACTGAGAATACCTCTCCCAGAGAAAAAAATGAAACTGCCAAAGCAGGAATTCACAGTTTTAATGTTAGGGAGAACCTTTAGTCAAGACAGATCAAATGCTTCTCCAAGCCAGCAAGAGAACAGCCAATCTGTTGGTTTGCAAAAGGGGGAATTTAAACTTGGACCATAGTCCAGAATATATGAGTTGATTCCTGTGTCCTGTCATATGTGGCTTCATATGTAAAGAAACGAATGAAGCTTGTGAGCTTTCTGCCACAGGTTAGTTATACTAGTTCCTGTATAATGTAATATTTGGAGAGTTGAGATTTTCAGCTTTATCTCTGGCAGTTCCATGAGGAGGGTATTGCATAGTTTTCAAAGTAGTATCTTTTTGAAAAAAGGTGATGGATTTAGTGAATAGCTAGTGGTCTCCTTCCCATTTCCTTCCTCCTCATCCAATGTCCTGGAGAGAGGTAACTGATTAACATGCAATATAAAGTAATTACAGAGTGTTTCTCCTTTATTCTGATGACCTGTGCTTGATATGTTGAGGCTAAGGTCTCCAGATGAAAGGGGGATATAGAATGGAGGAAGTCAGTGTTTAATAAATAAGCTATGGTTTTGGGTGAAATACCTTGGGGTCATCAACCCAAGTCATTCGAAAGGTCCTCCAGCATAATCCCAGTGAACAGCCCATGCAACTGTTGGCATCTTATGCTTGACCTTGATCTTCAGGGAAATAACAGCAAAATAAGAAGGGAAAAAAGGAAATTAAGATTAAGAGTCTGTTGTGAAGGTGACATGTTGTGGAGGAAGGACTATGCTGTCTCCTTTTGCAGGAAGCAATGTGAAATCTAGTCCAAGTCTGACTCCTGCCTTAGGATGACCCAGCTCCATGTACTTATGCATACATAACTAGTGACGCATGTAGATTCCTGTCTAGTTTGGACAAAAAAAAAATCCTTTAGCAGAATTTAATGGAATTTTCAGAGTTCTTTTGGCTAAAGCGTCATGTAGTTCTGGGAAACTTCAGTGATAGAAACAACAAAGAAATTGATTAATAAATCATTGTGGAGCATCCTCTTCTTCAGATAACATTGGGTTAGTTCCATTCACTTTATCTTGCCAGTCAATCTTTCTTTCATCAAAGGAATTATTATTAAAAAGGATCATTTTCCCTCTCTACGTGCTGTACTGTATATTAAATCATTTATGTATAATGCAGGACATGAAGGAATGATGGATTTTGAGCTTTTTAGTTATGTTGCTCCTTATTATTAAATATTTTAAAAGAATGTTCAGCAATTGTTGATTAATTGGAAAGTTGATTCTTTAGGACTAGGATTTTACAGAATTAGGACATCAATTATAAAATCTCAGAAGGTCATTTGAAGGGGGCTGATTACATCAACATTCTACTTAAGAATTTAAAAGACTTCCTATGCATAATGCACAAAAAATTAATAGAGAGTGAGATTATATCAAACATTTGCTAGTTCATATCCATATTTATATTAAGATTTAATGGAGAGTCTTCAAGATGAGGAGAATGAGGAATGCTTTCTATGTTTCTGCCTCCCCCCCCCAAAAAAAATACTCAGTTTAATTATTGAAAGCTCTGTCTGTTGTTGCAGGGTTATAACTCCCCACAGGAGTTCATTGCTACCCAGGGACCTTTGAAAAAAACTCTGGATGATTTTTGGAGACTGGTATGGGAGCAGAACATCTGTACTATTGTGATGTTGACAGTGGGCATGGAGAATGGACGGGTAGGTCTGGTGAACACCTGTTTTGGTCTACAGAAGAAATTATTATCCCTCACTCTAACACATCAATGGTCCTGAATAAATATGAGGGAGGGAGATTTATTTTCATGAATATTCTCAGAATCCTGTTTTTCTAGATTTAATGGAAGGTTAGACTAGACCTTGTATGCTAAGATATTCCTAAAATTTCTGTTTAAAATGATGGATTGTAGTTATATTGAGTTAGTGGGGTGAGCAAGTTATTTCAACACATTTGTTGTGGAAAAAGCATTTGTTTGAATTACTGTACATTGGTTTTACATACTGCAGCTGGTCACAAAATAAATTGGGATTTACAGGTAAATTTCTGGACAATATGTGGTAGATAAGCAAGAATGTTCATTACCCAGTTATTTACTTCTCATTTGTGGTCTTATATCATTGTTTCATTTTCAGTCTCTGTAATTCTGACAAGTAAAATATGAATATTAGCTGACTCTGGTCTCCCATACCCTCCCATCTATTTTTGATTGGTAGAAAAATCAGCCTATCCCTACTATGTGGTATATACATTGCACAAAGCATCTTGAACAAGGACAGCCAGCAACAATATGCTTTAGTGCTGGCTATTTTCTATTAACATCGTTTGAACTACTCTTTCTTCTAAACCTTTGAAAATGTGCATTCAGTCCTTCTAATTTTTATAGGTATTATGTGAATACTACTGGCCAACAGACATCTCTCCTGTCTCTTCTGGAGAAATTAGCATTCATCTGCTTGCTCAGAATTTTGCTGATGAGTGGACAACACGGGAATTTAAATTGCAGCATGTAAGTGGAAGCCCTGCAAAGTACTCCCAAATCTTCCCAAATCAAAATAGCGAACAGGTTCTGTTAATCATTGTGCTATAATATTGATTCTTACTAATAGGGCCTGGATTAACTTTCTTGACTGCAATAGTTGAAATCCACCAAAATTATCTCACATAGTACCCGGTCAAGGCTCTATCACCTGCAATTCTCATATTAGGACCTAGTCTATGGTATAACATGTGATAGCACAGTCATTTGATCCTGCCAGACTGTTACCCTGTTTGTTGGCCCAGACCATCTCTGTTAACTGACTTCCTGTCATAGACATTAATATAGTCCTTTCCTATCACAGAAAGGACTAAATATGGAAAGAAGACTGAGTCACTTACACTACACAGCATGGCCTAATCATGGTGTTCCTGAGTCTACCATTTCCATGATTGCTTTCATAGAGCTGGTACGAGCACACATGCAGAGTGTAAATGAATGTGGACCTATCCTGGTACATGGTAGGTAAGTTGCAATCAACCCACATGAATGTTCTTTTTATATAATATTTCAGTTAAAAACAAGACCTAAACTTCCAAAATCATCCTCAAAGTCATTCTTGTTCAGTAAAGTGATGTGTCTCTTTACTTATCAATCCTCAGCCTCCAGAAATGTTAAGTATAACTCTTGGCTATGAAAATGCAGCCCATGCTAGAAAAAAAAGGAATGCCTTTTAACCATGGTGACAAGAAAGTCTAAATTACAGGAACTGTATTACATCTTCCTCATTTTCTGAAGGAACAGGAGCTCTTGTCCAGTTCCCTTGTATGTTGGATTTTGAAAGAATGGAGGTGAGAATGGGTAAAATGAACAAAATGTGAAACTTTTTGTTGCGAAAATCCCTGGTTTCCCTTCTATTGCAGTGCAGGAGTGGGCCGCACAGGGACCTTCATTGCCCTTGATCGGCTCCTACAGCAGTTAAAGCATGAGAAGCTGGTTGATATCTTCAATACCATTTACAGTCTTCGAATGAATCGGCATTGTATGATAGAGACGCTGGTGAGAAAACCTGGACTCTCTTTTGGAGCTGCAACTATCCAACTATTTAAGGATACGAGAAAGTCTTTTTTTTCCCATGAAATTTGTCACCAGTGAAGGTGGTAAAATTATAGTGGAAAGGAATCCTTTGTTATGACAAGGAACTTAAAACCTTAGTAATGAGAACTGATGATTACCAAGCTAAAATAGATGAAAGAATTATTACACTGGAATGAGTAGACTATGATCCACATACATTTTTTTGTCCTTTTTGTGTGGCTGTTTGCGGCTCCTGAGATGATACTAAAGATGAGTTGCAAAACTATGTCCCACCAATTTTCAGCAGGAAACAAATGGAAATATTGTTAGAGATCAGAGATATGTTCCAGATGTTATAAGAAGCAGATATTACAGAGTGAAGGCTCGGTAGGAAATTGTGCTACATACAAAATGTGAGAAGACATGGTGTGGGGGACCCTATCAAATCTAGAGTTCGTTCACAGTATCACCAATTGGATTGCAGTCTTTCAAACTTGTCCTGCTTATCCTTGTCTCTTACTTAAATACCCAAGGTTGAACTTTTCTGTAGTTTTGATAATCCATACAGGGGATAAAACCCCTCAGTTTTGCACCTCAGTAGCATTAAATGTTACATTTCTATTTCAAAATGTGCTGTGTAGATAACCATATATTTTTCCCAGGGGCAATACATTTTCCTGCATAGCTGTATCCTAGAGAAGATCTCTGAAGATCCACTCATTGGCCTGTCAGAGATGTAAGTTTCTTTTCCACATGGAATCCTTGTTAGGTTCCCCATCATAGCTATCATTCTTAGTCTAATAGTTCTTGCCCTACAAAAGTTATCAATCTTGGAAACTTTCCTTTGTCTTATCTTCAAGCAGATCATCGCTCTATTGTGCCAGATTATAGCTTGTACAAGTATAAGGTTAAGGGAAACAAAACTAGGGATTTTTATTTCACATTGAGAAGATTTTTTGGAAATCAGATGTCCATGTAACATACTTACAGCAAACATTTTTGTCTTGCCCTGCATTACAATAACATCAGCTTCCTTTCAGTACAATTATAGAATTATCCACTTTTATTCTTAATCTTTATTAGTACTTTGCCCGATATATTGATGTCTCTTCTTACCAATATAGTAATATCAATCAACAGTACCAGGTCTTTATAGCTGCTGATTTTTCTGTGTAAAGTTGTCAGCTGATGTTAAATTACTACAATCAGCAGTTGAGTAAACTCATTTATTGTCTTTTCCAGCTCTCATCCAGTCTCTCTCAAAAGTTTTGCTCAGCACCATGCAAAAAACTGTTCTCAGTCCAATGCTGGCTTCCTAAAGGAATATGAGGTAAGATTTTGGCATAAGGATGTTGAGTTTAGGGAAATTCTTCCTATGATACACACATTATAAATCCATAGCAGAGGCCCAGGTTCAGTAACAACATGACTAGACAGAGCTGAGAAGTATCCTTTCTGATGTCCTTAGAGCTCCAGTTAATCAGTGTCCAAAGTACTGAGTTAAACAAAACCTCAGCATATAATGTACTTTCTATATTTACTTTCCTATTTTGTTCTGTGTATTTATTCAAGTAGACTTTTTTTCCTCAACAGTTTTCATTTAAAAAATAAGGTGTTGAATGCATGTAAGCTGCACACTCCAATCAGTATGGCTTTTATTGTTATCTGTTATAATTATAGCCCCCCCCCAAACTCCCAATGACTTACAGACCTTACAGTTTGGAAAGACTGTGGAGCATAGTGACTGTATTGATACTTATCACACTAGCAGGGACAGAATTTTGCCAAGCCCTTTGTGCATGAAAAGTATGTCAGTAATCCAGAACTAACAATTTTCCAATCTTAATTTTCCTTTGCTACTGTATTGTCTTCAGCAGATGCTCTTGGAAGTTGCAAAAGAGGAAATAAATTCTGCCATACCACCCTCTGTCAATCAGCAAATCAACCTCGGCTCTAGCAAGATTCCATGTGAGTGATAAGAGTTTTGTAGCCAGTAAAAACATGTCTTAGATTTGTACTTAAGGAGAAAAAAGTCTCATCTACATAGCCACTTGGCTGTGATTTCCTATGTCAGAGTCTGAGGTAATCATATGGAGGTAATCATATCAGCATAATTTGTTCTGTCCCCACAGCATGCCTTTCATGTGCATTTAAACTGGGGTCATGCTGAGCTGTTGCCCTATAACCTTTCCATATGACACTTTAAGGGAAGTAATTGAAAATTTTGTCTGGTTGAAGATTGCATTAATTTCATAAGCATGTCTGATGAAGTGTGGATAAGGTCTGGACATTCCAATCACTATTTTTGTTCTGTTGTTTTCTCTTCAAAGGACTTTTGCCCCTAGCAACTATTAAATGGTGGGAAATACTTTGTCTTTCTTAATTACAGTATATCCATTGTCTGGATTTGTGCAGCTGAGATTGGTTATTTGATAAGGCAGGTTGGAAAGGTGAAGTTTGAGAAATCAATTTACTGATCCCTGTGTCAAAGTATTCATCTGAAATATCCCCAGATCAGGGTCGCCCAAACACTCAAGCTATTCAGTCTCAGTAGGATTGAGTCAGAAACAGTTTTTCCCCATCCAGACTTGCAAAGCCTCCAGGTACTTGAACTTTTAGCCATTCCAAGATCAAAAATATAATTGAGTTATCATCAGCATACTAGTAATACCAAATCCCAAACCAGTTGATAATCTTGCTCAATATAAATATTGAAAAAGAGGGGAGAAAGAGTAGAACTCTGTGGCAACCCACAAAGGGGGAGGGGGCCTAGGGAACAATCCATGTCCAAATAACACTGATTAGAACAAAGGGAAGAAAGAAGGAGCAGCACTGTAAAATGATGCCCCCGTTCCCCAACTCACAGAGCTAGCTCAGAAGGATACCCTGGTCAATAGTGCAGCAATTTATAGGAAGTCATCCCTTTAGTTGTGGTTCTGCCTGAGATCAGCTTTCCTCAGAAAAATATTACAGCCTAAGCTGGAGACAGCAAAATCATTGACATAAAAAAGCTAATTGCTCTGAGACTTGTAGAGTCCATAGCAAGAACTATAACAATAGAGCTAAATTAACTAGGTGGAGATAAAAGAGATGGGATGATAGGTGTGGTGCTGGATGTGCTCAACTGAACATAATACATATGTCTTCCAACCATTGTCCTTCACACTAAGCCTGTTTTGCAGATGATCGCTCTAAAGTGAAGTTTTTACCACTGGATCGAGATCCATTCTCAGATCTTGCACATGTCTGGTTTATCCCTGTGAGTCCACCATATCTTATATTCTCTTCTTTCTGCTTTCTGTTATTGCAAAAGTATTTCTTTGCTGTTTGTTTTATTCATAAAAGGAATAATTTACATGCATGTAGATATTTTTTTCTATATTGCTTCTATTAATCTAAAAGGCATATATTAATATATACTTTAAAAATACCATTCTCACCTCTATGAATAGTATGTGTCTTCCTCAATCTTAGGTCCTCTACCGGAGGCGTGTAAGTTTGAGGATTTTGTACAGGATCTAAACAGTTTCTAGTACTGAACTTTCAGGATAGAGAGCTCTAATGTTGTACGTGGGATCTATTGGAACCACTCTTCCAGTTTAGGAGTCACAGCCACAAGTGCTCTTACCACCACTAGGACCACTTTGGTCTGTCTGTCTGTACACACACACACACACACACACACACTGTATAAAGGCATTGTCATAGGATGTAAGGTGCTCCAAGTTAAGCTGCCTTTTGCAATTATTATTACACAATGTATTTCTTGTCAAGATGGGAACAGATAATGGATTATGCAGAAAATCTTAGCTCAGTATGTCCATTAATAACATAGATATTGCTGAAGCATGCAAACTAACATAAATCAGAGATCATTTGCAAATGCTTTTGAGGACATATTTAGAAATTCAAAGTATCTTGAAAATCTAGAGCAAGGATGTAAAAATATATCAATGAATACACTGTAAAAGGTAAGAATATCTTATGTCCAACAAGATACTATTTTTGCCAAATTGTTAAATGCCATTTCAGCTGCATTGGTAGAAATGTATTCAAAGCAAAAGAATTTTCAACATTCCAGAAAGGCTACCAAAAGAATCCATAATTAAATGGATTCTCTATGATGACAGTTACTATGTTTGGATATGTATACCTTGAGTAAAAACAAGCAAGGGGGACATGATAAAAGTTTATACAATTATACTTGGTGTGGAAAAAACTATTTTTCCCATTTTCTATGATACATTTTTGCTACCATTGACAAAGGATAAGATGATGCCCTTCTCCCTTCTGTTTCAGTGTGGGAACTAAACCTTATGTCATCACTGACATAACTTCTTTCATTTGTCTGTAGAGTAGTACTGTAGAATAATTTATGGATTAAATGGGGAAAACTGAATGCTACATATATAGAGTCTTATCCTTCTGTATTCTCAGTTGCCGACATATCCTGCCCAATCATTAGACTATTTATACTGGAGGCAGAAGATTTTGGTTCTAGTACTAGTTTCAGCAACTCCTGGCACCCCATCCTGAGCACCTGTCATGTTGCATGGGAGAAGAAGCAGGTCCAGATATTGTATATTTACAACTTATTTGTGTAACTCACCTGCGGTTTTATAATGGCATGCTAAAACTTAGATCAGGCTTAGACGAGGTTTACCTTGTTATCCCAATGTTAGACCAAACTTACCTGGTGTCATTTCTTCCATAATTTTCTGCACTTTTTCCACAAGCAAATTATATAAACAAAGCAGTTGTATTGCTAATTAATTTATGTCTTTTTAATATGATAGGGCTGCAATTCAGCCAAGGACTATATTGCTATAGATGGACCTGACAAGCTAGCGCTGGAGGAATTCTGGGGACTAGTCTGGGAACGTGGTGTCCACACTATCATCACTTTACTACCTAGGCAGATGAATAGTCCGGTAAGATAGTCATCATATAATTTCACAGAATCCTACAGAGAGGCCATTCTGGGATAATGATGTGAAATGATTCAGCAATGCATAATAATATGAGGAGTTTCTATTTAAGGTTGGTGGAAATGCCATTAAGATACTTTCCTAGCTGCGTAAGAGTCGTTCTTCCATGAAAGTGGGAATTGTGATGTTAATTCATGAAGAGGGCCAAAAGCTTGAGACATTCCTGTAGAGGTAACACCATCTTTCTTAGGAGAGTGATGACTCATGGGAAAAATTTCCTGCTCAGAGTCACTCTTGAAAAGCACTTGGCTGTGATGATGTATCTCACTGCTCTGGGAACTGCAATGGCTGTCAGGCAACTTCAGATGTAATTCAGATTCCTAATTGTCACCTTCAATGCCATATAGGGTTTTGGTTATTTGTGCAAGCATCTCCATTATTTATCTGCCCATATGAGCCAACTCCAACTCCAATTTTCTGTATGAGAGTTTCACCACATGTAACCTCAGAAATGGGCATTTTCAATTTTCAATTCCCACACTGGAATTCCTACTTTGTTCCTTCCCTTCTGGGTTTCAGCAGAGCACTTAAGGCCTGATTGTTCCAAACTGTGATTCAAGACTTGAACTTGACAGATGATTGTGTATATTTTCTCTTTTTGTATTATGTTGATGTTGCATTTATTTTATGAGAAGGTTCATTTATTTTTCTTAAAGATCAAAGAAAGTTTTTTCCTTTTTTATATATATAGCTGCCTCAAGTTGGCGGTATGCAAATTATGTAATTAAATAACTATCCCTGCTGCCATTTTTATGAGTCCTTCTTAGGACTCCAATATGTTGAAGACTGCCTTGTTTATTAACATTACCGTGATAACGAAAGGACACCTGCTTTTTTAATGAACAGGAATGGGTTTTGAATGAGCTCTGCCAAAATATCCATGTGAGAAGCATTACTTCAGTAGCAGCCAATTACAATCATTTGACTGTGTAGTCTGGTGTTGTGAATTTTATGTGGGTATAGGAAGCTGATCGTATGGATCTTTTCTTGGCTCAAGGACTTTGAATAACCAGTAATTGCTGTACGATTAATTCTACTGGAAACATGGATTCGTAACTGCAGTGTTTTTCTTTTCTTTTCTTTTCTTTTCTTTTTGTATAGGCTCCAGATAAGTCATGCTGGCCATCAGAGGGTGAACCTGTCTGCACAGAGATGCTCACCATACAACAAGGGCCTGAAAAGATTATTTCAGGATGGCCTTGTGTTCAGCTCAGACTAAAATATGTACGTGAATTGGTTGGGAGGGGAAAGTGAACTGACATGGAAACACGAACAGCAAGGCGTAGAGAGGGCTTGCTGGCACAGCATGTGGATGTTTAAATGAGCTTGACTAGAGATGCTTGTGAATTAACTAAATTTCAGAGGCTGAAGATGTCAACTTCCCTCTTTCCAGTTTGTGGCTCATGGTGGTAGATGGAAATGTTTTTATTCTTCCGACAGCACTTCATTGTATTGGAATTGCCAGTCAAGGCAAAGCTAGGAAGATAATGTGGAAGATGTTATATTTTCTTTGAAGGAGCTCAAGTGTTTTTTTTTTCTTGGAGGAATTAAGTGGATCTGCTCATACTTAGAAACTAATTACTGTTTTAAGTGAAAAACACCCCTTCCCCAAGATCTAATAACATTCTGGATTTTGGGTTCTTTTTATTGTTTTTACATGCTTAGATTCTTGAAGCTTGGTTTTATTGTATATGATTTGCATATATTTGTCTTGTGAATATATATGCATACACACGCACAAATATTATATACACAACCGACAGAACTACAAGTTCTGATTATGTTTAATGCTGGTTGGAGATAGAGAAGTAAAAGCCCCAATAGCAGTTGTTTCCATGTGAAGTGAAAGTGAAAGTAAATGAAATCCTGTAGAATTAGTCAAATCCTGATTCTCCTTATGGCAATGAACGTACACTGCCTCTATTTCTTTTGAACTCACAATGTGCTTATAGCTTACTCCTTCTCAGTGTACATAAGTTTATGAGTTACACTGAATTTTTAATTCATGAGCTATGCTTTCACCGACGATGTCTTCATTACTTTGTCAGGAGAAAAAAGCAAAGGAAAGACTGCTGCAACAGTTTCGATTTCCTTTAGGGGAAGGAGAAGATTTGCCAGATCCTGAGGTTCTGGTGGGTTTTCTCACTGTTGTCAGACAGCTAGTGCCGTACAGGAAGAGGACCAGCCCTTTAGTTCTGCATTGCAGGTAAGAGCCCAAATCCCATCCTGGGTCAAGGGTATCTTTCTTGGGTATCAGTCTTGGATTGGTAAATACCAAATACTCAGTGTTGTCTGGATTGGTTGTCAATATACAGCAATTATATGGCAACCTCTCACTACTTCTTTGCCAGTTCGGGAGGCGTAGGCCAGATGGGGATACTCATTGCCTTAGATACTCTGCTGCAGCAGCTGAAAGGAGAGAAAAATGTGGATGTGTATGGTGTTGTTTTGAGGCTGGTGAGGAGCTGTTGTCTCATGACTCCATCATTGGTAAGTAAAGCAGAGAGTTGGATCATCAATAGAAAGGTCCAGCTTCTAGACTCAGCATGATTGCCACGTCATTAAAGCCAGCCCCTACACAGGCCATTGTCCCCTTAACTGTGCTGATATCTTTTCTGATGATCAAATGTGCTTGTTTTTAATTAAAGTTAAAAGAAGCAAAAATATATTAGATATGTTTCAGAACATTCTTATCAGGAATATTTAAGATGCATTTTAGGCTTATTCATCACTATGGCAGGAACAGATAGATAATTGTTCTAGGTCAGACTTATCCAATTGATGCCTTCCAGATATATTGGACTACAATTTGGAATGGACATGGATGGCTCATGTCCATTCCAAATTCAGTGCAAAATCTGGAGAAGAATTGCAGCTTGTCAAATCAAAATGTTTCAGTTAGAACTTGGAAAATATATGGACCATACTGTGAATAAAACACGGGCTTTTTATTGTGAAGACAAGATAAATGTGTATTTATTGTACTGAATAATATGTTGTAAACACTTTCAGTCATGTAAAATAAGTCAGTTCATCTATATTTACAGTATGTTCAAGTACAAATAAGTTTGCAGCTTAAGCAACTACAAGACTAAATTTTACTGGGAGTTGAAAGACAATACTGAATATAATATTGTGCCACCAGAGGGCATTGCACGCAATCTGTTTCCAGACTAAAAATTAAAATACTGATGTAAAATATGTACTGCATAGATTTTATATTTAGCTCTGTGACGCTTATGCAAGTTTATTTAATCAAAGAACTCCCTGGTCCTACCTGCAGAATCCAACGTGGAGATCAGGTCAGAAATCACCATGATGTTTAGCCTTGGAAATTTTCACATATGTAGCAAAGTAGTCAGTCTGTGGTTTATTTGTTTTTTTCCTGCAACCATAAAACAGTAGCAGATGCTAGTGCTCATGCTGTTAGTATATGAAGCTCTTCATGCTACATTAGCAGTTCTGGCCTGAATTTCCTGTAATTTCCTGGACTTAATTCCTAGTGTGATGTGATGACCTTCAGTGTATGTTTCTCTCTCTCCCCCTCTCCCCCTCCTCCCTCCTTCCCTCTTCCCCTCTCCCTTCCTCCCTCTTTTTTATAGTATCAATACAAATTTGCTAAAAAAATTTTTTTGCTTATCTGCATCATCTCATGTATTACGTGTCTCTTTCTCTCTCTCTCCACCTCCGTTCCTCTAGGATAAATATATTTATCTATATGAATGCATTCGTGAGGTCATCACCCAGAAACAAGTTTAGGCTCTGGTCTGTGCTTCTGGTTAGATGATGGATAGAACTTCATTGTGCAGCAGAATTGTGAACATAGACTGAACTGGTGCTTTTCTGTGCTGAGATGAGCAGCTACCCCAGAGCTCTGACCTTGATCTGTGCAGAAGGTGAAATAATGAGTCTGTAAAAATGCTGGCTGTGATGTTCCACTCTTCCAGTTGCAGGAAGATCATTTCTGCTGACAGCAGACTTCTGTTCCTCAAGGCAGGGTTGTGCATGCCATAACAACTCATTCTTCATTCTGGATACACTGTTTGCTGAGGGGAAAAATAGAAAAACCACCTCCTGAGCCTTCCCCAGTTTTGTTCAGTCCTTAAAATACAATAAACCATGTTGAATATGGATAGAGTTGGTAGGTTCAAGATGTTTCATGATGTCATTGTATAAATTTACAATAAGTACATTTCAGATAATATGGCTTTGTGACAAAAACAAATATAGCTGGAGAAGTTGCAAGAAGGGACGGTGGAATAAAGATCCAATGAGCCTCCTCCTCCCTCTCTGTTACATTTCTGATGTTGTGTTTTGGGCCTTTATAGCAACGAGAGCTTAAGTGCCGCACTTACGTCCATGATACGAAATGGCATGGCAAAGATACCAGCATTTCCCCCCCTTATTTTGACATCTTCCAATACAAATAGGCTGAGTAAAATAGTTTACTGTTATCTAACTGACATGTTAACATTGGGATAATTCCAAATTACTGGTGTATCTTTCCACATTCACAACCAAATTATGCAGAAAGATAATTTTCCATATATAAAATTATTCATATTTTTAAAAACCAGCCTAAACCTGGCTTTCTTACAAAGAGAAAGAGAGAAATATATTCTAAAGAGATGTGTTATTAGATCAAGTCTGGGAATCTAAAATTATAGGTAAATGAAAGAATGAATTAAAAGTTTACCAGATGAATTTTGGCAAAGAAGTTGTCAAAAAGGATATCCTTATATGAATAACTTACTGAATTTGGTATGAAAGAGATTTGCCTCAGCATTTGCATAAGTTTTTATTTAATGTAGAATAGGTTGAGAGATTAAAATTATAGAATGGTCTGGAAAAGATGATGCCAACTACAACCACCATCTTGCCTTATTTTTAATATTCCCAAAACGTGCCTAACTATAGTTGCAGATAAGGCAAGTTTTCCTAAGTCCCTTAATCCATATTCATGTACAGAAGCAACTAGAAAATATAGTCTCTAAAAAACTACTGCAAGGTCCATATTACAAATTTATAGCTTCTTCTGTTTCTCTTGAGTTCCATTCTTCACTTTGACTCTGGATTCCTGAATCTCACTTGGTTACAATCTCAAAGTGTGTAGCAAAGACAAGATTAAAACAACTTCAATAATAAGTTTTGGAGACACACCTGAAAGTTGGGCTTTTCCTCTTGGATTGATCTATGATCTTATGCTGTACTAAACTGGATTTAATTATTCAAATTAAAATTCACAGAATTCCATAACAGTTTTTTTCTTATTCTAAAGCATTGTTCAAGAAATTTATTTTGAGTTTCATCAAATCCAGTTTTGCTTTTCTTTGACTTACCCTTAATTCCATTTCTTAAAGTTGTAACTTTAATTTTAAAATGGGATTGAACTATCCATTGGGAGAAGTGCATTTTTACAGATAGGTACGAGTTACCCCAATTTCCTGGGGAAAGTGGTTTTATATTAATAAATTATTCTATGAAAAATGAAATATTTTGCATTCAGTTTTGTCTAATATCTTCATTGATGTTTATGCTAGGCAAAAAATTTGTCATACTTTGCAATATGCATGGTGTTTCACTAGAAAAAAAAATTATCCTTAGTAGTCTTCTTCCAAAGGGCAGAGAAAAGACAGGGAGTTTTAGAATTCATGAATTCATATATCCAGGAAATGTAGGCTAGCACAAACCAGCAATCACTATGTATGTGGCTTGACAGTGAATTGTGGATTATAGCTTTGGTGGGCCACACTTTCTAGACCAACTTTGTCCAGTGCAAGCTGTGAATTCTTGAGTACTCAAACATTTCTGGGACTGTCAACTTGGAAAAGAACACCTGAAGTTTACACTCTTAGAAATAGACATAGTAAAACAATGGGAGAGAAATAAATGGAGGTAGGTTAAACAGCAGTATTCTTTCAGCTATATGTAATTCAGCTTAGATCAAATATAGGTGGTCTTTGACTTATGATTGGTCACTCAGTGACCATTTGAAGTCATCATAGATCTCCCCATAGAACCCAGTTCCAAAGTTCCAACAGCCAACCCCCATCTCTGTGGGCACATGATAGCATTTAATGATAGTTTTTTCCCCAAAAACCATTTACTTCTGGTTTTTGGCAAAGCCAGCCCATTGTGAACAATTGGTTCACTTAACAACCATTGCAAAAAAGGTAATAAAATTGGTCAGTCACAGTGACCTACATTTATGCAAGAAATTGCGGTGGTTCTCCTCCTACCTCTCTGACAGGTTGCAGTCGGTGTTGGCGGGCGGACAGAGATCGACCCCTAGGCGACTCGATCATGGGGTGCCTCAGGGCTCGGTTCTGTCCCCCCTCCTTTTTAACATCTACATGAAACTGCTGGGTGAGATCATTCGGCGACACGGGGTGAGGTATCATCAGTACGCGGATGATACCCAATTATATATTGGGTGTCCTTTCAGTGAAGCAGTCGACGTGATGTGCCGGTGCCTGGAAGATGTGAGGGTCTGGATGGGGGTGAACAGGCTTAGACTCAACCCTGACAAGACCGAGTGGCTCTGGGTCTTGCCTCCCAAAGGCCAACTGGATGGTCCATCATTAGTCCGGGGGGGGGCAAATTTACCTCCCTCAGTGCAGGCACGCAACTTGGGTGTACTCCTGGACTCAAAGCTAAATTTGGAACAACATCTTTCGGCTGTGGCCAGGGGGACCTTTGCACAGGTTCGCCTAGTGCACCAGTTGCGGCCTTATTTGGACCGGGAGGCTTTACTCACAGTCACTCATGCCCTTGTCACCTCAAGACTGGATTACTGTAACGCGCTCTACATGGGGCTACCCTTGAAGGGCGTTCGGAGGCTGCAGTTGGTTCAGAACGCAGCTGCGAGAGCAATTGTGGGCGCGCCAAGGTACGCCCACGTGTCACCTATCCTCCGCGAGCTGCACTGGCTTCCTGTGGGTCTCCGGACGCAATTCAAGATGTTGGTTATCACCTTTAAAGCCCTTCATGGCATAGGGCCAGGTTACTTACAGGACCGAATTCTGCCGCACAGTTCCCAGAGACCGGTGAGGTCCCATAGATTGGGCCTCCTTCAGGTCCCGTCGGCCAGACAATGTCGGCTGGCGGGCCCTCGGGGAAGGGCCTTTTCTGTGGTGGCTCCGACCTGGTGGAATCAACTTCCCCCCCGAGGTTCGAACTACTCCCACCCTGCCGGCCTTTAAGAAAGCTGTTAAAACTCTCCTGTTCTGACAGGCCTGGGGCTGATGTCCCCGGGGGGGGCGGGATATGATCGGACTCGTGGTATGACTGTATTATTTTATTGTTTTATGATTGTTTTAACTCTGTACGCCGCCCCAAGTCCTTTGGAATTGGGCGGCATATAAATAAAATTAAATACAAATACAAATACAAAAAACAATGCGCAGGTATAGAATAGGTGGTACCTGGCTCAATAGTAGTAACTTCAAAGAGAGATTTCAGAGTCCTAGTGGATAATTACTTAAATATGAGCCAGCGAAAAAAACACTTGAATATCAATACCACTTTATAATGCTTTGGTAAAACCACACTTGAAATATTGCATTCAGTTTTGATCATCCCTAATATAAAAAAAAGAGACTCTAGAAAAAGTGTGAAGAAGAGCAACAAAGATGATTAGGGAATTGGAGGCTAAAACATATGAAGAAAAGTTGCAGGAATTGGGTATGTCTAGTTTAATGAAAAGAAGGACTAGGGGTGACATGATAGCAGTTTTGCAATATCTAAGAGGCTGCCACAAAGAGGAGGGGGATCAACCTATTCTCCAAAGCAATTGAAGGAAGAACAGGAAGCAATGGATGAAAACTAATCAAGGAGAGAACCAACCTAGAACTAAGGAGAAATTTCCTGACAGAACAATTAATCAGCGGAATGACTTGCCTCCAGAGTTATAGGTGGACAACACTGAGGTTTTTAAGAAGAGATTGGACAACCATTTGCCTGAAATAATATAAGGTCTCCTGCTTAACCAGGGGATTGGACTAGAAGATCTCCAAGGTCCCTTCCAAATTTGGTATTCTGTCATGACTTACAAGGCAGGCTTCATTACTATTATAAGTCAACTATTGTAAGTAGTCTGTCCAAACCCATTGCAGTTGAGATATTGATTAACTGATTAATTATGTGCCATCAAGTCAATGTTGACTGTTAGCAACCACATAGATAAACCCTCTCCAGAATGAGTATTTGAGATAAATTTGATTATACTTTATTGACTCAAAGGGGGGCAGCACATAAGTGATTCTGCTGGGTTCAAAAGCTAAACTAAGTTATGTCTGTATATTACTTGAATTAATAGGAAATCAAGAAAATATCTCAGATAAAAGGAATAGCAAACTACTTATTTACTATTGCCAAGAAAATAACAAGGAAATTAAGCCTGAATTTTAAAAAAAACAAACACTTTTTCCCCCTCCTTACCACTGGGTCATAATCAGCAAATATTGAGGGAACACATTACAAAAGAGTACAAGGTATTATTTTGACTAGAGGGAAAAATTTTATTGACTGCCTGGAAAAGGTTTTGAGAGATTTGGAGGAAAGTCACATTAGCATTCTGAGAAGCATAAGTGACTTAAGAGTAGACAAATGGTAGAACCGGATGGGAAGTAGGAAAAGTATAAAAAATGAGAGATTTAAAGATTGACTCTTTCTGATACAATTCTGAGAAATTCTAAATATGCTAATCTACCAGTAGTCATGTAAATTGATTTTGGACAATGAAACTGGAAATAGCAGAAAATCTTCCATAAATTTTTGTAACCTTCTGTAAATTTCTTATGCATCTTCTAAATCAGTCTGCTACCTGATTACACGTTTATTTATATATTGTCTGGCTAGCATATTTTCAAAACATAGTACAATGTAGTCATCAGAATGAAAATACTGAAAAACCCAAACAACTGAAATGCAAGACAGATGAGCCAGCTAGCATTTATTTATGTGGTTTTCTTTCATTATTTTTAAATATTATTTGTATAAGTCTTTTATTGTCCAACTTCCCATATCTCAAATCTTAGTGCTCCATTTCATTATGAGAGAATACTGGGGTGTATATATTTAGCTATGCCATGAATTTTTTTTTAAGATTTACAATTTGTTTCTGTTAATTAAATCACAATTAAGCCCAATTATCACAATTAAGCCCAAACAAGCAAACTATATTAAGGCTTTTATGCAGTGTGAGAACCCAGTCAGTCAACCAACTCCTTGGAAAGTTTCTGTGAAAAGCCCAATTTGTTTTAGTGACACCTTTAGGCCACAAAACTTGTTTTGGAGAAGGCACCTTGCAATCTATGATCAAGAATGTACATGGGGGCACATCTATCAAGAATATACGCTATGCTTCCCTTCTACCACCACCAGAAACACACCTTAGCTTCTGGGGAAGCTTTGCAGACAGAGCAGGTGGGCGGAAGACTCACTGCTCAGAGTGAGTCTTAGATTTCTGACTTTGCTGGGTTTCATTCCTGGAGAATGGCCTTAAGAAAAGGAGGCCCTGAAATGGAGATCAAAGCTAGGGAGTTTGCTCTAAGCAAGTAACAAAGGCCCCAGATAGTGTCTGGCTCCCAGGAGCATCACAATTAAAGAGAAGGGAAGAAAAGACAAGAAGCAATTGAAGTCTACAATGGGAAAGGCACAAGCAACCTGAGCTGGGGGGTGTTGCCAGGAAATGGAAGATAGAATTGCTCCTAAAGGAATTGGGCAATGTTCAGCCTTTCTCTCCAGCCAACATTTGCAGCTCCAGTCCTGGCCTTGCATGGCAACTGGGAATATTGTTAGCATTCTCAGTGGCTTGGCTCTTGTGCTCTTTGCCAAGAGCATGGCATAGCTGGTGGAACTAAAAAAATGGGGAAGCCCTGATCTGTTTGTTTCTTAAGCCACAAACACACAGGTAAATAATTTGTAATAAATTTGCCAACCAATATTGCCAATCTGGTGAATACATTGCCTCATACTTCCCCATTGCTTTTCACTATAAAGGGAAATGGTCAGACTGGGATACAGACATTTTGTGATCCTTCCAAAATCCATCATTCTTACACTGGAATAAAGGAAATTTATTATTTACTGGTTATATTATTGATGAGACAATTTATATGGCTGCCCAGCTTTCACACAGGTGCTCCGGGAGACTTACAACCTCAAAAATCCACAACATAAAAATCATACCCCACCCAGGACAGCAACAATACATATTTTTAAAAAAATACATAGTATAACACATTTATATAGTTTTACCCTATGGTGTTCTGTAGTGATGAGAGTTGGACACCCCCTCCCCAGCCCAGCTAAGAAATAATCTAGGAACACCCCAACTAAACTGGGTCAACAGCAGCCTGAGACTAAAACAGCAAACACTTGACACACACAATGAGGAACCAGCTAGCAGCAATCAGGACACAACAATAAAAGTAATTAACACCTTTTAGGCAAGAAAAAGGAACTAACAATAGTCACAAACCAGCAAATC